GCACGGAATCGGTTGAAAATTTAACGTCAAAAAGCCTAGTGTATCTGGAGCCATTGTTTCACGCCTATTGTTATGCTGATTCCGTAAAACCGTGGCTCAGTGGRAAAAAACTTGGTCTTCCAGGACAGGGAGTCAAGCCCGGTTAGGGAGGGTTAGTATTTGGATGGGTGACCTAAACATTATACATGCATACTCAATTAAACAAGCTTAAGCTTTTGATAGACACTCTATCAAGCAAAATTATTCATTTAACAAAGGAAAATATATGGCTTGAAGTTTCTAAAAAAAATACTTTAAGTTGAATAAAATTTCTTTTAACTGAGAAACTGTCAAACTCAATTCGTCCTCGGAAGCTAGTCTACCTTTATTTGTTTCGTTTTGAGTTGAAAAAATTATATAACTTTTCGATTATGAAAAAAAGTGGATGTGAAAAAGTCATTCCCTCATGGCCTCGTGCTTAGTTCACATCCAGTGAAAGGGCCTTGGATTCTCCCTATCAACCCTTGGACAGTTTTCCTTTTATATATATATATATATATATATATTTATTTATTGTTTTGTTTGAGTTGACCAATATATAAAACTTCTTACAGTTGATAAAAGTCCTTTTAATGCCGATATGAAAAACTCACTCCCTCATTGGCTCATACTTAGTTCACATCCAGTGAAAGGACCTTTGAATTTCCTAATCAAATGTTGAACGATATTCGTCCAGTAACTTTCGTTTGATCTCTTTTATTTATAGATTTGAATCTTTTGTCAGTCGAGTTGTCCAAAATATATCAGTTTTCCGTTCGGAAAAGAAGGGTCCCTTCAATCTATGTGAAAAAGTCTCACCCTTATGGTCTCATACTTAGTTCACATCCAATGAAAGGACCTTTGAAGATCATTTTCAACTACTAAGAAATATTTGTCCATTCATTTGTTTAGACTATTATATTTATTTATTTGTTCTACGTTGACCAAAATATATATTTTTTCGATGATGAAAAAGAAAAGTTTGAGGCTTCTAAGAGATTTCCCTTATATTCTCTTGCATCCAATGATATCATTTATTTGATGATAACCCCAGTTCAGGTTAAGGGATACTCAAAAATCAAGTATTTTAAAAGCCGATGTATTCTATTTTTACTCCCATTCTGTTTTCGCATTTAGCATTACATCCTTCAAAAACAAATTGAAATCAAAAGTTCTTTTAATATTTGTTTTAGGATAAATATATGGATATCAAGGTTCTAGTTGTAAGTCAGGGCATGCACTACAGGGATGTAGCTAGAGGAGGAAAATAGAGGCAATAGGAGCTCGAGGGAAGAGGAGAAAAGACTGTTTGTGAGAAWAACATAATGCTAGTGTAAAATTATCTAAAAATGTTTTGATATAACAGTCGAAAATAGAGTACCAACACAAAGTGTGCAACACTTTGCACTATTTAGTAGTAAATAGTGCTAATTAAACAATAGAAAACAATAGGATTAGCATAATTTAGCAGTATTTAGTGGTACTTATGACACACACTTAGTGTTTGTATTCTAGTACGATGATCATACACGACTAGCCACTACATACATGCGCGTTATTTATGTTACATTTGTTCGCATTAAAGAGAACTTTCAAATAAATATAACCTGGAGCTACATGTGAATTAAGACTCGCAGATTTCACATTTGATAGTAAAAGGATCTGCTTTCTTGCGACATTTAGTAATACAGTAGGTACAGCAGAAACACATTAACAACGCTGTGTTTTAACTAAAACTAAAGTAACAATTCCAAGGCATAAGAAACTGGTTTAGTGTTCTTTAGATGTTGCTGCAATGACTTGGATCTGCGAGCAGTAATAACTCTTATCCAAAAAAATACATTCAATGCAGGGTGAACGATCAAGGTATCTTTTTAACGTGGAAATAAAAACGAAGGAACAATGCTAAGGTTTTTGAACCTATCTGTTCTATAAGCCTACCCATCATAGGGTACCTCGTCAATGACAAAGGAACATTGCTTTGGCAAAGTTTTAGAGCCTTTTTGTTTTACAAGTCTATTCATCATCAGCAACCTCGTCGATGACTTCATACCCGTCCATAAAATCATCATGTTGCTCCTCTGAGAATACAACTTCTGGTTTGGGCGTGACTTTCTGTCGAGTCGTTCGTTTGCCTCCTCTTCCTCGTCCTCTGCCACGTTGCTGAGCCCCTCCCCTTGCAGCTCTCCTGCCACGTCGTGCTGCAAGGCTGATAAGCTTGGTTTTCTTTACTACTGGTTCTTCATCTTCATCTTCTTGGGATTCATTCAATGAGTCAACCGAAGTGTTTGAGACCTCTTTAGTTTCTGTGTCCTTAGTTTCAATCTAAAAAAACAACAATTGTTCAATGAAGCTTGTTACATTGAAGTAAAAACTTGGGTTTTTGTTTAAAGTTTTGGAAACATAACGAGAGATCTTCTAGAAACCGTCGGACAAAAGGGTATCTACACCTAACTTATTTCTGCTTCAAGGCAAGGCCATTTGATTTTTTTGTATTCATTTTTTCTCCCCCCTCCCCCCCATGATTATTTGCTGGACCAGCTACAAAACAAAAGAAGTGGTTTTGAATAAGTTTTACATGTTAAGCTGGGTTTTTACCTGTTCTGCCATTGGCTCATCCACTGTCTTTCCAAGGTCTGGATCATATTTCTCTTCCAAGGTACTTTGGTCCAGGGAATCCTCTTCCCCCAACAAGAGGTTTTCATCAAGTTCTTCAGGCTCTACATCCCTTTCGTCTTCATCCTTGTCATTAAGTATATCATCTTCGATCTCTTCCTTCTTCTCACTTGAAGCAGACACCTCCATGTCTTCTCTAAGTAAGTCATCATTTGACTCATCTTGCTCGTCTAAAGGTCTGTCGTCATGGTCGTCTTCTACAGCTAGGTACTTTGTCACTTCCACCTGTAAAGTGAGCCATCTGGATTAATTCAAATTAATTATGGTGCAGTAATGGCGGCAAAGACAAAAGAAGGTGTCAATGCTTCAGGAAAGACATGAGATTGTAAAATCACAGACATATTCAATGTCTCACATCAATAAATTATTTGTCATCATTGCATTTTGACCCCTTTATTCTATTCTCAACATCCAATTGCTTAAACCTGAATGGATTTAATTTGTACATTTTTTCTCTCATTCAGACCAAGTCATTCCTTTGAGTTTTTGTTTCAGCTGCATTCCAAATGATGTTGGAAAAAAAGAAATAACACTCAAGGGAATGACAGATGGTCTAAAACCAGACAAATTTAACGTCAAAATGAATTAGATTTATAAGTGACATCATTTATGGCAGTCATAAATTTCCCAGCRAGGTCGGAAATTAATTTTTCCGAATTTAATTCCAAGGGCTTTCGCCCGGAATAACCTCGTTCCTAAGCACTATAACTTATCTATATTTCTATATCTTCAATAATTTATGGCAGTCAAGTTAGATAACATGTCAACCAAGAGAAAGACCAATTTTAAGTGTACTCTTTCTAGAGGAACTTCAGATATCATTCACAAGCTTTTGGTATCTTTAGAGTAAACTTACATTCAAGGCTTCCCCTGAGCTATATCGGTAAGGTCGTTTTGGTTCTTCTGTTTCTGTCACCTCATACAGCAAGACTTCCTCTCCTTCCCTTTCACTTAACATCTCTGACAGCTCTTTGTTCCTAACCACTTGATTTGACTCRTACTTGGGATGCTCACTGATGTATCGCTAAAAAAATAAGAGTAGCAGGAATCTAAGTAAATACTACATGAGTCATTCTAAGAACCAAGAACAGCTGGAATGACTTGTTTTTCTGCTTCTTATTCTTATCAAGAACATAGACCTTAGTGTTGAGACTGTTCAATGTTCTCTGTATTCAACGAAACCATTTCAATGTCGGAATGACCAATTGCCCTTGGGCATTGACAACGTTTTTTTGAATTAGATGTATATGTTACTTTAGAGTAAAAGCTGCTGTTTATTGAGCCCCCAAAAACATGGAACTAGGAAAAATTGAGCTACGATCAAAATGTTTGCTGAGTGGCTAATTTGTTTGCACTGAGAAAAGCAAATCCCTGCATGTGTAGCAATGAAAACAGAAGAAGTTGCAGTAGTTTGTAATTACCCTATACTTGGCTTGATGTTTCTTCCCATCAACATGCTTCATAACATCACCTCCATTTATGATAAATAATTTGCAAAGACGGCAGTTGAATCCTGACACAGCTTTCACAAATTCACAGCCTGAAATAATATTAATGACAAGTACAACTTTTTTAAACACTGAACCATAATTTGTAGATACATAAGATGTCAAATGAACAGGCCCAATGCTTCAGGAAAGACATGAGATTGTAAAATCACTGACATATTCAATGTCTCACATCAATAAATTATTTGTCATCATTGCATTTTGACTCCTTTATTCTATTCTAAAGGTCCAATCATTTAAAGTGCCTTTTACACCTAATTCAAATTTTTCATTCTACATTAAGTGAAAAGTTGAATAGTAAATTATTTTCATATGATTTGAGTAATGCATCTTGGATATATCAAGGTTTATACTCCCAATATGTTAATGACATGACGTCAAAGGAGGCATTTCAGTTTATCTGCCATCACGTGGAAATTGAAACACTGATTACTATGAGATTTTTTTTGCTAGAACTTTCTCTAAATCCTAAGATAATGATGTTTTATACAGGATATTTTACTGTTCAAGAAACGTTTTGTATATTTGATGCCTCCTTTGACGTCATTTCATTAACATATTGGGAGTATAAACTTGAAATGACCAAACTTATCTATGAATTTTAACCCTTTCAGACCATGTCATTCTCGACAAAGTTCTCACAAATTCTTAGCCTTAAATATAATGCCAATTACGATTGCTATGAATGGTTCTTAATGGAACCTTATTCTTAGGCACATAAGATGCATTAGTCCTCTCGGACCTTCTTTCAGACTGTCCTTTCACTCATTTTCTTGTTTTACACCAACCAACACGATGTCCCAATATTTTGTCCTTTTATTCTCATGGGTAGGATATAATTATATTATGTACGAGAAGAACAAAGAGGTAGTACACCAATGATCTATATGTCATACCTTTGGTATTAACCCCTTTGTCAAAGCCCTTCAGCCTGACACGTGCCTCAGTGATTGATGAAATAGTTATGAATTCCTCTTCTTTGATGGCAACTTTTCTAGTATCACATGAATATTTTGCCTCAAACTTCTCTTCTTTGACTGGTATTTTTTCTTCCTTCACTTTGACTGAAGTTTTCTGATCTTCTTTGGTTGTTTCTGAAGGTGTTTTGGATTCTGGAAGAGGACTCTTTTCTTTCTTGACCTCATTAGGCTCTTCTTTGATCTTGGTAGTCGTTTCTTCTTCAGATGAGCTGGCAGGAATACTTGATTCTTTATCTTTCTTGACTTCGACAGATTCCTYTTGTTCTTGTTCATTTGATTCCTGCTTTTCCTCAGGGGATTGTTCAAGTTTTTCTTGTTCTTGTTCTTTTGGTTTTTTGGTTTGTTCCTTTGCTACTAAACTCTTGGTTGCTTCCTGTAAAAAATGATTAACAACAGATGAGAAGACTAACAAATCAGGACAAAAAATTAACTAGCCTCTTGTTTTATATTCAATTGATCTTAACTTTTCRCCTAAGAGACTAGTGTGCAACCTAAACACCCATCAAAAATCTGAAACATTTCCACAATGTGTCCCTCTCAAAACAAAAAAAAATTATATGTGGGTTATTATAATGTATCGTATAATATAATGGACTAGAGTTCTTACCTCAGAAGCTCGTTTAAACATTTCTGCTTCAAATGATTGGCCACGGCTTTCCAACCATGTCTTGACATGACGTTTGCCATACAAATGCTGTCTGAAGCACTAAAGATCAAGTCACACAAAAAATCAAATACGTAGTTTGTATTTGATCAAAATCATTTTTTTCAAAGCGTATAGGGTAAAGTCCCATGTCCATACCCTCAGAATGGAGCTAAACAAAGCCACTTTCTTCTGAGTGYGAAAATTACATGCACGGTGATACACGAATGGCTTATACAAAAAGCAAAGCAATAACTTACCGAATCTTTAGTACACATAATCTTGCATACTTTACAAACATACTTTCGTCGGGAGGTATCATACAGAGACTTGACAAGGTTGTTGACATTTTGTCCAGCAAGATTGGTCTCAGATTTGAATTCTGAATCTTTGGTCTGGTTTTCTGGTTTTGGTTCCTCAGATTTGGATGACTTCTCACTAGCATCAGCTTCAGACTTTGTAGCTTCTTTACTCTCACTAGTTGTTTTTTCTTCCTTAGTTTCTTCTTTCTCTTCCTCTTCTTCATCATCTGAAAATGAATCTTATAATTCTTAGAATTGAAATAGTAAAATTTTGAAAAACCTAAGGAATGCATAGTTCGTTTCTAGCATCTTTGTGTAGCTTTCTTTTGTTCAGATCGTTTGAAATAGCCGACTGAATAATATTGACTGCTACCATCACCGCCTCCCACAATACTGCATTATAGGATACTTTGGGGTCTACATTTTAGTGTGATGCTGAAGACTGGAAGTGTAACATTTTAAATTAAATATGTGTATTAATGTTTTTGAATGGATAATGAAAGTCTTGCCGCTGAATGTTACCCAAACATCCTAGAGCTATAAAACTACCCAATAGTAGGGTATACGATGTACATTACCTAGCGTTTCTTCCACATATGGTTCCTCCACAGGTTCATTATCTTCTGACTTTTGACTCGATTCACTAATCTTTTTTCTATCCCTGTCATAATCCCTCCTTTGCTGGTAGTTTGATCTATTTCCTTGCGAACTGCGAAACTGTTGGCTGCGGCGTTGTCTGTGGTTAATCATGTTCATRTTTCTCTGACCTCCCCTGGGTGGCGACATTCTTCTCTTACGATTTTGTCTGTCACCCATACGGCCCCTGTTATCATGCATTCTAGACCCCTGCATCAAGGATTGTGGTTGACGACCTTGGCCACCACGTTTGGCTGCTGCAGACGCTTGGGCTTGGATGGCAGCTAGGAGGGACTGTGTTTGGACCATGGCCATTAGTTGTTGTTGCTGTTGTGCTAGCTGGGATGTAAGACCTATTTTGCATCCAACAGAGACAAAAATTAATAAGTCTACATTAATATACATTAGCACATTATAATGTTCAAAATAACAGTCAAGCTTGTTATTCTTCAAATATCTTCAACAAGGTGTTCACCACATTCACAGAAGGAGAAAATTTGGTCAAAACCAAAGGTAAAAATCAGCAGCAAAAATAAGAACAATATTTTTGGGGGTTGGTTTGACCATGTTTCCCATGGACAAGCTCTTACTGAGATTATAAAGACTGAAATTTCCCCCAGAAACATGACAAAAAGCAAATGAAAGGAATGTAACAGGGTTCTATCCAGAGAAAGAAAAGAAAAAGAACTTGAAATTTCCAGAGAAAAAGTGCCTGCACAAAGCATTCAGTACTATTTGTGCAACAAAATCTAAATACATAGTGGATTTAAAACTGATGAATATYGAGTAGCCACTGTCGTTTAAAGAGAACATTATCAAGTAGAAAATGGTCTCTAAAACCAAACTAAGCATAAGGACTGAATTGACAGACTTAGTCTAAATAGAACCCTGTACTAGACTAATAGGGGAAAGAACAAGGACAATTGAGATATATAATATAAAATAGAATAAAGTTTGAAAAAGTTGAATGAAGATATAGAAAGAAAAAGTGAGAAATACATTTTCATGCAATGTGCTAAGAGATTTAAGGTGTTGTACTCAATAAACTAAAGTGCGAGTATTTTCGATGTGAGAGGACAGTGTAAATCATTTTTAGCAAGATCAATAGCGGTCGTGTAAGAACGCACAATTGTTTTAGACTGTATTAAGTTACGAGCTGTGATAATTGAGGATTATCCATTGCTGGTAACAAATTTCAGATATACAAATGAAAGCAAAATAAAGTATTTACTGATTTTGTTTGAAATTTGAAGTTTAAGTTCAAGCTTGAAAGAAGAAAGGTTAATWTAGCCAAACCTGGTAAAACTAGCCGATCTATCAATGATCTTATGACTCTGAGAAGAAAATGAAGTTTGACAGCAACTTCATGAAAGACACAGAACTTGAATCAATGAATGGTAAGTCTAGGTCTTAGAAAAATAGTAGACTGGCCTTAATGAGGCTCAAAGGCTGTATTGCAAGTATGAATAAATTGTTAAGAGAGTATTTTGTACTGCCCAATGAGAAATGGAATCAGTTTGATAGTGAAATTGCGGAAAAGGAAAGGAGGCTTTGAGAAGAAAAGAGAGTTGAGAAGAGAGAAGAGGATAGAGAAGCAGTCCAGACCTGAGCTTGTATTAGGAGTAAGATCACGTGGCAAATCTCCAGGTTTGGCTCCAAGAATTCCATCACCCCTATTAGGTAATCTCATGTTGTGACCATCCCTGATTAGGTCTCTATCGCTACTGCTCTGACCTCTGTTTCGGGTAAAGTTATCYCGTCCTAGATCATCCATAGAGTAACTGCCTAAACCTCCACGATTGTCCTGACGGTTTCCTCTGACTCCAGAATATGGTGGCTGTGATAAGGTGACAGTATCAAAGTGAGYAGACTGGATAAATATAAATGATAAGCAAGGTTAGTTATTATGGACAAGATATTTGGTCCTCTACAGAGGTAAACATATATGGCATTATTCATTGCTATTGACTCTAGTGTTCTTTATTCACCACAGGGCAATCCAATATTTATATTCTCACATCTTGGGGGATTAATATACATCCCAACGTACACTAGGACTACTGTAAGCATTCATTGCATAACCAGCATTATGTCTGCTTTCTTTTACAAGAGGGCAGTAAACGAAGGTTCCTAGAAGGGTATGTCTTGCACCGATTCAGCTTGGTTGTCGGTTTGCTGCAAGTTTCTCAGAGCTCCATAATCATATTTACACCCTGTCACTCTTATGGGTGAATAGTAGCTAGACAAATACACATTAACATGTACAAGCAATATACACCCACTATATGTATTTTGATTTTTGGGTTATAATTTTCTACGAAACAGGATGAGCATAGCTGAGGTTTGTTGTACTTGCAGATAACTGTAGGTGTATGTACATTTTTTATAAAAAGGTGGGCATAATGATGTTAAAGTACCCTGCRACTAGGAATATCATTAGCCAGTAACTGGCTTCCAATGAATAGTATGTTCTGCAAACCTTCTTTAGGCATGAACACTGCCAACATAGTTAAGCTGCTATTGATTCACAATGATATTTAGCCAACGAATACGCGAGCCTTTCTTGTAATTTTGTTAAATTGCCTGTTTATACCGGCCATCAGATCACTGGTCAACATGTACTGATAGCTACGTCGGATGAAGCATTCAATAGCCCTTCCAGTGATCAGACATTAAGCAGGTGTCGAATTACTGAATCTTTTATAAACGATTCAATGAGGTTTTTTTTGGTCTAAAAACTGCTACCAAAAGCAGGCAGTCTGATGACTGAAACAAGTGTAAAATTCATGAAAATAAGCTTAATAGTTGTCAAGGCACAGTTGTGTTGTTTCCACTTTCTTTCCAATAACGTTATTCAGAAAATACTGTATATTTTTCACAATATATATTGAAATGAAGTGACTTTCATTGTCTATTGTATTTATAATATGGTTTTAACACTAAGGGCGTCTCAAATAAACCACACAGAACTTCCCTATCTTTTCATAGGCGAATTTTGCATTGATATTTAGCAACAAAATGATGATTTTGACCCGAAGTTTGCTACTCAAATAAGCTTCAGCTAAGAATATAAGTTTATTCAAGATGGTTTGAGCGTTTGAGCGGAAGTATTTAGCCAATAGAAAGACATTTTTAATGTAAAAATTTGGAGTCTAGAGTGCCTAAAAACAAGATACCAGACCTGAAAAGAAATAGAAAGACAACAAGAACAACAGAGACAGAGAGAAGAAAGAATACCACGGCTAACAAAMGCTTACATCGGGAGAATATCTCCGCCTTCGTGGGCTCGGATCTCGACGGCCAAAGTCTCGCTCCCTTCGATCAAAGTTATCTCTTGAATTCCTTCGGTTGTCGAACCGGTCGTCTCTTCTATTCGCAGCGCTTGGTTGCTGCAAGCTATTTAATCCCGTATAAAGGGATCCTAAACCACCACCTCCAAACCTATTAAAGCCTGMCATGGTGAAGTTTGACTGTAAAAAACGACTTCAAAATGTCGCCTTCTTCTTCGTTTTGACTTCTTCACCACGAGGACAACTTTGCATCCGGGGATCAACTTACGAATCTCCTCCGATATTTTAACGAATTGTTTCCGATACATTATCCGAACCATTCCGACGTATTTTATACTTTGTTGCTATGGGAACTTTCCAGCATTCGGGGAGCCCGCGATATAAGCTACATATTTTTGTTTTATTTTTTCAAATGTTATTAACTTGTTTTTATTATAAGCTAGGATTTTTAGGATATTTTAATGCTGATCGACTTCAAAATTTGTGAATAGCACCTCTCGTTCTCATGCTAGATAAAWGATGTCTAGAATGAGCGTTTTTTGAAGTGAATCATGTCTTATTTATTGGATATTTAACCATTTGTATAAATGCATTATTACAATTGTGATGGCAAATTATAGTCCAAAGAGAGGCCATTTGGCGTTAAAAAGTAACGGTAAGTAGTACTTGTGTTTCGAAGRTATCTGTAATATTTACGATAGCCTAAAACCTTTCATGCAAAAGCTCATTCCTAATTTCCTCGACTGCTGGTCAACAACTGCTCATTTTGAGCGGTTAAATGTTGTGTTTATTTTGTCTACAGCTCTTAACCCYACAGCTACTTCTTATGAGGGTCAACAGTTGATACTGAACCACATGAAATCTCACTACAGTAGAATATCAAGAGCCAAAGGTATTGGTTTACGTAATTTATATCCTAATACACACAAATATCGATAAAAAAGAAAGTGAAAGCACCTGCTATGTGCATTTACAATGCATGTTATTTTATAGTAGATGACAGAATGGAGATGCATTGTTTCATCCAATCAGTGACATTGCTACATTCAAATTGACCTAAAGGCCATTAATGATGGATGGTTGTTATCGTTGCRATGACAACACCACAGTTTATTGTGTAGTTCCAAAAAAGACACCCTCCCAATGATGTTGACTGTATATGCATTTAGTATAAATACACAGGTGATTATTGAAAATCATGTGCGCTGATTGGTCGAGAAAATCATACTATCACAGGATAATCACTTCCTGCGATAACCCAAAATGAGGGCCAGCCGCTTTGTTGCCATTACCTAATTTTAAATGTGTCTTTTATCTTCTTCTTTTTTTCTTTTTTTGAAAGAATCACCTGTGTACTTATACTAAAACAATTATTCACCTCAGGCTCAGTGAGTGTCGGGAATAATAACCTCAACTTTGTTTCGGTTATTATTCCCCGATACTCACTTCAAATTGTCAAATRATAATGTGAATGTACCAATGATAATAAATGCTTTCTTGTTTCAGCTGCTGTGGATACATCTGCCCCAAGGTCTATGAAAAAGCATATCCGAGGTATATTACTATAGACGGACACACACGTGTGTCTGTGCCACACCTTGCAGGCATTGTTTCAGTTTTACCAGCCTTTCTGTGCATGATTTTAGTGTGTGTGTCTTCATCTTGATGAGGTCATTTGAATGTTTTCGGCCGAATAAAAAAAAACAAGTATTTCACAAAGCAAAGTGGGTGACCCCATTTTTTCTTTTCGTGTTTATCTAGTTATTTGACACGTTCTTGCCAAGTTAAACAAAAGTTTAAACTTTCATCTACACAGTCCAAATCATGCACATCTCAAATGGTTTTAAAAGAAATTAATGCTATTAAAATACAATGCAAATTATCTCCAAAACAAGTTCAGTCGACCCCCAAATGTTTGTCTCTTAAATGTAGATACGAGTTAACCAATATCTTTTATTGACAAAAGCATATAGTAATGGAACATTTGACTGCAATCATTTCACGGGAGAAACCACCCTTCCCCAACAGAAAATCCTTGCTCTCCTGGTTTTAAGCCTCTTTGAGTGTATAAGATAAGTGATGGTGTATATGTATGATTGCTCTTCAGTCCAAGACCAGGTRAAGCGTGAACTTTTAAGGAAAAGTAATGAAGCTCACAGTGAAGGAAAGCTAACTCCAAGAAGAAGAGCTCAGGTATTCATTAGCCCAAGGGATAAAAAAATCTTGAAAGAAAAAGCATTTACTTTACGAAGCTTAAAAATAATGTGCATTGATCAATACTCCTTTTTACAGTTCCAAATCAAGGCTGGAGTTTCAGGGCATAGGAAAACTACTATACTTTTTATCATGCRTGGCACCTCCAACCTTGCCTTGGAACTTTTATTCGTGGTAACCCAATGGAACTGTAAAATGGAGTATTCTGCTTTTAAAACCATTTTTTTTATTTTTCAGAGTGCGTCACTTGAAAATATTTCCAATTATGATGGACACTTGAGTCACCATTTTAGGCCACACTCTAGTCAAGGYTATCATAGAGCCTCCACACCTTTGGATCACTCTATTCCTGAACCATCATCATCTATGCCTCGAGACATAACCTCAGCTTATCAGAAATCTTCTAAAGATCAACCAAGACAAGAAGTAAATGCTTCCAGAGGGATTCCTTATAATTCACCTAGAGCCCTGCCAAGGCCTCTTGTCTCACACAACAGATGGAGAAATGTTCAAAATAGGAACACAATAAGGCAGTCATCTTATGATTATGATAATGATGCAAGAGACAGACAAAAACCAATTGCTAAAGACGAAACAAATGATGATTTACAAACAGAGACACGGGATGTTGCTGAATCATTAGGTGGTACACAAAATGATATGGTGGAGGACACTCAGTACAGGGGTGATAGCAGAATGAGCACAAGGTTACACTCTCATGCTCTAGACAGTAGTTATGGCTCACATACAAGTATGTCAAGTGCATATGCAAGAAGAAAGAAAGAAATCCAAACCAAAATGTGGTAAAATATTCGAAATAATATTCATCAAGATTTGAAGGCTTTTCATGTTTTTGCTAGGCAGAACAGCTCAAGGCACAGCAGGTGTCTTAGTGCTTTGGCATCCATCCATCAAACTTGGTCGCCCAAAAAGCATAATTATTGATCGATKGAAGCTCAGAAACCAAGAAAGTAGCAAAAACATGAAAGGTATTCTAACACATTTTTGGGAAACACTTTAGGAGGTTGTAGGGGGAGGGTGTAAAGTCATAAAGGAAGGTGGTAAGGTAAGATTAAGGAGAGAGAGAAAGAGAAAAGAAGATAGAAGGAAAAAAGAAAGAAAAGGAGAGGTGAAACATACCAGTAATGAAAAATATATAAAATTCAAAACAATATTACTAGTTAATATGTTATTCTTCAGGGAACAGGAACAAAACTACATGCAGTTTATTTCTGATGTTACTTCRGATGTTCTAGCAAGAGGAATATTTAGCAATAGGTAAGACTATGCAAGGTTTGTAAAGGGGTTATTCCCACCMATCTGTGAATAAATAAAATGAATGAACCATGAATTATAAACACATTTCTTTTAATTAAGGGTTCTGAACAAGGTATTTGAAAGCCATATTGACAAAAGGAAAGATGACTTGGATGAGGTAATGCGTTCTCTAAAAAAGTTTGGAACTATATAAAATGATATTTTGGACATYTGTCCTTCTTTAAAGTAAAAGGACGAAGGTCAAAGATCTGAAACTTCAGTGCAGTTTAGAACTTCTTTACATTGGCGTTTTCTTCTCAAACACATTAATAATTCATAAGGGCAAAACAAAGAAAATAACGCAAAGGAGTTTTGATGCGATCTTAATTAAAATAAAATTTGGGCAACTTATGCCTAGACATTCTCCAAGAATTAAGTAGTTTGAGAAGTTATATCAAGCACTTGAAAGAGTGCTTCATCCTCTATGCAAACTTCATCCTCTATCTGTAACTAGCTTCAAGGCGTTTGCATAGAGGATGAAGCACTCTTTCAAGTGCTTGATAAAACTCAGCTCCACTTCTTTTTTTATATCAATGACTCGTAAAAGTATTTCATTCTCTATCCAAACACCTCAATGTTGGTTTTAAAAAAATCTGCTCCCCCTCGTTTTTTTCATTTCACTTCTCGGCGTTTGGAAGATAGATGAAACACTCTTTCATGAGTGTTTTTGGTATTTTACACCAACGCATTCCTAACTACAGTCTAACCATTAGTTATTAACAGTTTTTATCTATTTCTGTGAGCAGTCATTATATAGTACACAAGTTTTAAGGTTGCAATACATATTTTTTTAGAGTCGAATGAGAGAAATGATAGACCAACTCAAGCTTGACCTGGACATTACATAACAGTGTGGTTACTGAATGCAGTTAACAAGTCTGTCATGCTGGYGGTGTCATGGCATAGCTAGAGAATAATAAAAAATAAATTCATATTGATGCAATTTTATGTCRAAAATAATTCTGAAGAAAAATATGAGCAGTCAAAAATCAATAAAAAAACTGCCAATCTTACATCGTGTTTATTTAAGTACCATGAAGTGATATTTACTCATTTTCTCTTGATTGAAAGAAGATAGTAAAAATATCTTCAAATTTCAATCATACCCTGAAAAAACCTTGAGTGATCAGCCAGGACACAAATCAAACCCTGAGACTGTCTCTTGACTAATCAAAGTCAGGGCATGGCCAACTCACAGATCAAACCATGAAACAACCTCTGGGCTGATCTAAGTCAGGGCATGGCCAACTCACAGATCAAACCATGAAACAACCTCTGGGCTGATCTAAGTCAGGGCATGGCTAACTCACAGATCAAACCATGAAACAACCTCTGGGCTGATCTAAGTCAGGGCATGGCTAACTCACAGATCAATCCCTGAAACAACCTCTGGGCTGATCTAAGTCAGGGCATGGCTAACTCACAGATCAATCCCTGAAACAACCTCTGTGCTGATCTACATCTCAAATCTCTGATTGAACCCTGGAAAAAAATTTTGTGCTGATCTACATCATGGCACAAGCTTGCTCAAGGATAAAATCCTGAAACAACCTCTGACTCGATYAAAGTCAGGGTACTGTTAAAACACAGATCAAATTGGAATTTAACATCTTTTGTGGAGAAAAACCTGGTGAAAACCCTCAAGTCAAGGGAGAGATCTGACACACTCTACTCGTATGATTCTAAGTCCACAAATCAAACCAAGGACCACAGAGTGGAGTGCACTGCCAACATCTCTTCTCCATTATAACTTGAACACAAGCCGACACACTATTTCAAATGATAAAGCTTCTGTTTATTGAGTCAGCCAATCATCAGACTTACTTTTTTCACACAATACTATTATTAATTAGATTATAAAGAATTAAAGGAGTTGGAAAGCAATATTTAATCCTACTATAGTCATGTACAGAATTGTAAAAACTTGTTATTTTAACTACTGATGAGAGTGCACGTGTCATTAACCTTGAATATTCTTCTCTCTATTCAATAATTCTTTTGAAAATAGTGACTCCATTATGCCTTCAAATGCYTCAGTGCACGACCCATTTCAAAAGTTCTTAAACAACAATATAAGCCTTTTGTATATATGCAACAAAAATACATAACCTCATTGGTGCAAGGCCGAGACTGGTCYTTACTGTGTAATATTGTAATCTAGAGAATGTCTGAGAAAAAATTTATAGCTTAAATGTTCGACGACAATGGGTCAAGTGTTGCTTTCTTGAAACATCCAAACACTTTATTGCAAAAAAATGCTCCATAACAAGAGGTTTCCTGTACATTCCTTTGTACAACCAAATTTTGGATCTTCATCTCTGCTGAAGCATTACAAAGTTAAAAACTGGCTACTGTCCGGCATTTGGGCACCAAAACACTGTCATTTTTATTCCTGGCCAGAGAGCTTTGARATTTGTCTTTGTTGCCATGTTGACAATGGCGACCATGGCAGCACAGTAGTCATGGTTACACAAACACCTTAGCGAGACCATCAGCACCAGCACTAGCTATATAGGGCTTAGCTGGATGGAATGCCACGTCATATATACTCTCGTCAAAYTTTTTCCTGTGGGATGTGATTTCCTGGACGCAAGTCTTGGTGTCCAGATTCCAAAGTCTTATTGAACAATCGTGACCTGGGAGGGAAAAAAACGAGAAATGTAGTCCTTACAAATTTATCCCTTGCCACACCCCACCCCCGTAAAAAAAACACCTAAAATGAGTTGAGCTGAGAAAAGCAATTCATAGCTATGAGAAAATATTCTGTCCCCAATTAAACATCATTTAGGTCACACCCACTTAGTTGGCCTATTATAAGTTTGTAAATCAAACAGTTATCTTGCTATTAGAGCGTATACCATACATCCTTGAAAAACATTGTAAGAAATTCCATAAATGTGCACAAATTAGTAAGTTTAGTAGACCTCAGCAGACTGTAGACCTACAAAACTTTGCACTAATTTGTGCAATTCTGTTAGRTTAACTTTTTTATGCATTTATCGTATGCACTCTATTAAAATATCTGCTAACAAATTACAATACCCTAATGATAATATAATAATATTTTTAACAATAATAATAATAATAATTTTATTACTTATATAGCGCAAAATTCATTAAAATATATGTTCTAATGCGCTTATGATAATATAATAATAATATTTTTAACAATAATAATAATAATAATTTTATTACTTATATAGCGCAAAATTCATTAAAATATATGTTCTAATGCGCTTAATAATGAGGAGCTTGACTTACTTCCTGATAGAAGATAGAGTCCATTTGGATCWACTGCTAAACTAGTGACTGAATCCAAATGAGCTACCATGGAGTGGATTTGTTTACCTGTAACAGGAAGAAGTCACCATCAATTGATCTCATGCAACCTCAAACTTAATGACCCTGTTATACAGACATTATGATTGGATATAAAGAACCTTGATCAGGGTTCRTGCTGAGGTATCCACTTAAAATTCAAGGGCTATTAAAGGAGTATTCAAGGAGTATTCAAGAACCCAAMTAATCCATGGTTTTACATTGTGTCTGCACACGGCTGACTTTTCTAAGTTTTTCCAGTACYCCTCATAWAAGGGAAGTAATGCCTGGTTGATATAAAGAAATTTCGAATGACTAGATCAAAGCAGAAATTCAAGGAGTTTTGCTAAAATTGTAAGATGCAAGAGTTTTTCAAGTGCGCTTCAATGAGTTCAATGAATTCAATGAGTTTTTGAGAAGTTTAAGGAGTAGCACGAACCCTGCTTGACGCATAAAGTAGCCTACACARAAGGATTTCCAAGTGTATGACAAAAACATTTTACCTGTATTATTATCAAAAAATCTGATGTGTCTATCTTCATGGGCAGTAATGGTGACTGGTAATGTAGGATGACTYACTACTTTGTTGATCTGAGAGGCTCCTGGGGTAGCTGAGTTTAATATAATATGATAAATTAGTGAATATTACCATAGGTAGGTAGTGGCTGCATTACCATGGGTATATAGACCTCCTTGGCTCGGGCACAATGTTTTCCCATTTCAGACCACATATCATTCCCTTGAGAATGAGATTCTTTGTTTTAGTCATGTGTTCTTGTTACGTGTCTTCTCATGCACAACCAAGCGCATGATATTCTACTGAATGACACTTGGTCTGAAATACGAAAACATTATGGCTGAACCAGGGGAGGTCTATTAGAAGTAGTTCACTAGCAGAGTAAAAGACAGGTCCACTTACTATAAGTTTTGGTACTGTCTAAGTTAACCACAGGAGTTGCTGTTTCTAAATCAAAGATTGTGCAACTTGCATTTGAATAGGATGCAACCATCTGTGATGATTCCATGCGAAGAAAGTCTATTGATGTTGGAATTCCGCCATTTTCTGTTAGAGAACAAGTAATGGYTAGGATGAATAGGATTAAAACTAATAATTTTAGTCCATCATAGTCATTTCATATTTCAAAACCATAATGGAATATCAGGAACGAAAATTATGGGTCATTTAGGGGGCAAATATACAAAGCTTTATTACAATAATGGCATACATTGATATGTACAATTCAAACCAAGACAATTTGACAAGAGATGAATTTAAATAAATGAACAGTTCCACATATTGTGTTTTGTCATTTCAGCATCTTTGTTCCCCCCCCCTCCCCCGTGACTTATAATGTCTTGTGATTAAAGATGGCCGCTCTATTCAATTGGTTCATTATAGACAGTTACCTTTATCAAATACAAATGTGTTGAGCAATGGAGACTTGAGTGTTGGATTCCAAAGTTTACAGGTGCCATCAGAGGAACAGGAAAGAAGCTGAAGGGAATTGGTCTGTACGGCTAAACCCCAGACAGCATCAGTATGCCCTTCTAGTAGATTACCTTTGACATTTGCACCTGAAAAACATGATTGTATGATGAAATAGTGCACTGATGAAATGTGAAGATAGACCACTATTATTATCACCATCTGCACCATCATCAACAACATCRTCACTGCCCACCACCCACCACCACTATCACCATAAGCACCATCAACATCATCACCACCATCAACATCTACAGAATCATCAACACCACCCACCACCACCATTACCATCTGCAGCATCATCATAACATGCCTAACATACTTACTGTATGGACCATAAGGGTCAAGATCCAGGGATGGAATAGTCCAACAATATATTGCTGAATCTGCACCCCCACTAAAACACATGTCACTGGTAGAACTGATGACAACTGAAAGCACTGCATCACTGAAAAGGGTAAAAGACCACAGCAAATGTCAAAATTACACTAAAATGCTGTGACAAAAGCTGCTAAGAAAAGCAGGTAAAGCTGTGATGCTCTTTACCAAGGATCATTTAGAAAGTTGCTATTTGCATTCTAAGTGGTGTACATGAAAATTATTCATATGTAGTTCTAGTAACCCCAATAACGTGTAATTATTATTATCATTATTTGCACTATCTGATAAAATGTGTTTAATGGACCTGTTCTGAGTTGGCAGGGAAAATGGTGCATTGTGGTCTTGCTTGGGTACAAACATATTCTGTTCATCATGCCTCATATGGTGTTGTTTGCACTGAAGCTAAACCACAATGCATTATGTTTGTTGAACTCTCTTAAGGACTACAAGATATCCATAATTTCCTCTTACAGGGGATACCATAATATAGAGCCCTTGCAGCACAGTGGAATGCAGCTCAATCTTAGGGACAAAACAATAGGTTCCAATTCTCTGGGGATTGGAGTTTGGACAACACATGCAAGGAGTCTATACTCTTCTAACCTAMATTGGTGGGCCTACTTTGTGGGTAGAATGGGAGAGGGGTACAAATATTTCTTTAGAGTACAAATCACAACTTACGTGTGCCCACGGAATGTGTATATCGGTTCCACATCTAGTACATTACTCCTGAAAAGAACAAACCGTTCCAAAAGAATTCAATTTTTTATATACAAACACACATCGGACAATGTCCGGCCAGAACTTGGACTCGTCTGGTCAAATCTTTGGTTTTTCCAGTCATTTTGACCACTAASGTAGAGCCAAAAATGAGATATGACTAAGCTAAAACTAATTTGGCCTGTCATGACAGGCAAGTGATCGGCCATTATTTTAAGCCCTATATGACATACAAAAACTTCACTCAGCAGGTGCTTTAGACACCACCATTGTTCATAGCTTTGGAATGCTGAAGAAATGGGGAAAAAACATCCCAATAACTTACTTTTTCTGTGGTACTGTTTTCTGTAGGTTCCAYAATTTCATTGTGTGGTCTTCAGATGCAGTAATGAGAGCTGGTTCTTGAGGATGGAAGTGGACTGATCTTATAGAATCAAAGTGACTGCAAATCGAAATGGAAATGAATGAATGAAGGAAAGAATAAATGAAAAATCATATAAACAAAGGAAGCACAAAGGAAAAGGAACAAGGATAGAAGGAGAGAGGGAGGAAGGGAAGGGAAGGGAAGGGAAGGTGAGATGGACGAAGAAAGGGAGGGGAGGATTCTGGGGTGTAAAAAATTTATTGCCTTACCTTCGCAGTGTAAACTTAGGATTCCAAGTTTTCCTGAATTCTTCTTTATTACTGATCTGAAAAACCCAATGGTATATACATTACAGCAACTATTATGACATACATTTACATCCCATAATTAAGGATATTGAGCACAATGTTTGTTCATTATACAGCAGAGGCCTCCCTAAAGTAGTTCCCAGCCCATGCTTTTCAGCTGTAGAAGATCTCTTTCAAATGCTCGCATACATACCTCGTAAGAGAGCGGCTCAGCCTCGTTAGCTACAGTCAAATCAGCCAGCTCACCAAGACCTAGAGGTTTTTCAAAAGGTTCCTCAGCCGGAGGAGACTGAACAGTCCCTTGGCTTTTGCTTGGGGACCCTTTGCCTGGTACAGACACACTGCCGATGGGAGGAGGAACCTCGGAAATAGATCGGGAGCCACTTAGCCTGATAGGAGAAGGACCTGTCRGTGCTTGTGATGAGGATGGCGAAGATGGCATCTCTTCTTCTCCACTTAAATTAGCAAGCATTGCCTGAAGAGCTAATTTTGGTGGTCCTGTACAATRGATAATATTAAATAATAATAATAATAATTTAATCACTTATGGTGTGCGCATTCCATACAATGATCATGCGCACATTACAATCCTAATATAATAATATAATATATATAACTATATAACTATTTACAAATAAGATGAATAAATATATATTGATAAAGACTGAAAAACTATCAAAATGCTGATTTAAAAAGGTGGGTTTAAAGATGCTTAAACAAACTAACATCTTTAATGGCGCAAAGGTCTGCAGGAAGTGCATTCCAGAGAAAAAATGTAAGATCTAACTTCAATACACTGGATAATAAATTGAAATAAGAGCAAGGCTTACTTTTTTGGCTTATTTTGGTCTTTTTTTCTTTTTCCTTTTCTTTTTCAGTCTTGTACTGTTTCAACTTGGCCAGCAAGTTTTGGTCTACTCCCCATTCCTCCTACAGGAAGGAAACAAACAARATCAATGCTTTTTCAACCAAAAAATTCAAAATAAGCAAGAGATATTCAGAATCACAAGGGAAGGCAAAATGAGTGTTTGCTTACTGTAGTGCCTTCATGCTTTAAGTGTTCTGAAACAAAAATGTTCACATTTCAGATTTTTGAAATGAAATCAACTTTATCAGGGTTCCCACAAGGTCAAGGAAAAGTCAATGAATTCTGAAGACCCAACTRTTGAGTCCAAGGTCCCAAATGGAGAACCAAGCAGAGAGAGAATTCCAACAACAAAACTAATTATTTCCAATTTTCTTCTCTGTCGCACTCATCGAGACTCATCATGGACTGAGAGCATGAGATCTTGACATCCGATAATATCTAGTTTCACAGGGAGCCCATAACTAACAAAAKGGAGTTACAGGGTCTATATCTCTTCTAAGCCACAAAGATTTTTAATGCTCTCAAACACTTTTATTAAATTCTTATTATGCGAGTAAGAAAAAATTTAACTAGCTAAGTTTTGTGATTATGACCACAGTCCAGAAGTTGAAGGACTGTAAAGTTTAGAACCCGCACACAGTAATGGTTGTTATTCACTGCGTCTGATCGCTAGTGACTTGCTAGTGAAATAGTTCTAGTGAGAAAAAAATTTACTAGTGAGAACTAAATTTATTTTGCTAGTAGGTTTAAAAAATAATCTTGTGTCCTGGTCAAATTATCAAAAATATGGCACTAAATCTAGTGTTGTCTTACCCTGGACTTCATTTTCATCAGGCATATGGATATTGATTTCATTGATGTCATTTGATATTCCTTCTACTTCAATTACAGTGGTATCGCTGTCTGAATCTCCTCGAACAAATTCAAATTCAWCTTGGGCATCATCAGCAACATTATCATCAATGCCCATCATATCTTCTACTTCATCTGAAAAAATATTGCGAATCAACAATTGATTTTACTTTTAGGTTCTGTTGGCTGCAAAATCACAAGATAGAGGAAGTATTTTCCACAAAATGAACTGGAAAAATGGATATATTTGCTAGGGTGCCTAGCCACTGGATCCAAGACCTTTAGTTTTGATTACAGTTGGTTTCACAAAACTTTGGCCGCTTTAATTCCGAAGTTAGTTCCCAAGTTCTCCAAGTTGGTCCCAGACTTGCGAACTTTTTGTGAAATTGGTTCAATCAACCGTGACTTGTTTATGTCTAGAATTCAAATATTTACTGGAATTGCTTCTTTAAACCATATACTTTTTGGAAGTTGTATTCCAGACAACGTACAAAGTCAAATTCCTTTTGTCGCAATAAAATTCACTTTGAAAATTGAATTTGAACGGTAGATTTGATGAGTTTTAGAAGCTACTGTATTATCAGTTTGAAAGATTGCCGACAACCGTCAGAACTTCAGAGTGAAATTGATTACGATGTTTTGAACTTGCCAACAAACTTCAGACACGGAGTGGCCGAAGTTTTATGAAATCAACTGTAACATTCCAGGGGTTAAAACAATAGCTGGTAAGTTGCCTGTCATGATGAATGGCCAAATTGGTTTTAGCTTGGTCATRCCTTGTTTCTGGCTCAACGATAATGACTGGCAAGGCAAAGATTTAACTGAACAAGTTTCAATTATTCTGGGTGGACATTGTCTGTTGTCTGACTGTCTTTTCAACCCCTGCATGCAACAGCATGAAAAATCTCATTTATTAGTAACACACCTGTTTTAGGTTTCTTGATAAGCCTTCTTTCATTGCAATACTCTTCTCTTTCATCTGATTCATCATCAGCACTTCCCCCATCATCCATATCATCTTCATCTTCTCCCTCAATGTCATTTTGAAGAAAATCAAAATTGGCCATAACTGAGGCCTCTGAATCAATGTCCTCATTTGTAACTTTTTTGCCCTGTTGAGTTCCTGGTGGTTGGGTAGGGGTACTAGAAGAGAAAGTCATAATAATAAAATTAGAGAGCCAAGGCTGAGGAGACAGACCAGCAAGGAAGGGAGAGGGGGAACCCTTAAAAGTGGTTGGTATTTATAAATAAATAAATAGTAAATAAGYAATTTAACATGGTGGCAAAATTATTGTGGGGACTATAGCCCCTTTGCCCCCCTGGCTCTGTGGCAGGTAAGCTTAAAGTCATCATACTTATTTGAAACTTCCCATGCTTCATATTGTATCATGCAAAAAGCATGGCGGAATAGCATCGAGAATGTTTGCTTCTCCAGAAAGGCAGCCCAAATTTGGTTACTAGACTCAGTTCCATATGTAAATAGGGTTGCTTGAGGGTTCTTTCCCCATTTTTCTTCCCTCTGCAAAAATCAACTTCTAAATCWTAATTCGAATTCTGTGGATGATAGCAACACTGTACGAAATCCAATTATCTAAATCCCATTTATTTTGTTTTCATTTTTTCAAGACAAAGAAAGTAGTAGGGGTTAACACCAGACTTGTGTGACMGCAAAAAATGCATGAACATATCAGTCACTATTTTTTCAATGCCAACGCAAACAGCTTTTAGTCCTAGAAGTAATGTTTTCTCATTTCAAACCATGTGTCATCTGATTTGGAATAATATTCTTTACATTACTGGTAAAAGAAACTAGACTGATCAAGCCATTTCACATGCTGAAAAGCCATAGTCKACTTAAAAGGTGGACAAAAAGAGCAATTTCATACTCACCTCCTAACAGGAGTAGGGTTTACAATCTCATTTCCRCCTTGAATCTGCTGTCGTACTTTGACAGGCTCTGAATGTTGATGCATCTCATTTTGAAATTCTGGGCCATCGTCAGGTTTTCGTGGCGAAGTTCCATTCATTTGTGCAGGTGGAATCTCTGGCGCAACTGCTGATAGTCCCAGAATAGATCTTACTCGCGACGAGCGTACATCTAAGATAGTATCAGTGTATCCAACCTCTTGTAAATATCTAATAAAGAATTAATAGTTTATTAGGATTTAGCTTATAAGAATACACTGATAAAAAGATTAAGGAATAGATAGATAGGTGAGAAAATTGAATGAATRAAACAAGATAGGATAGATGAGTATTATAATACATAGGTTAGTCGATAGAYGGGGTAGAATGGATGTTGGATGAATAAAGAGAAATAAATSATAAATGAATGAATGGATGGATGATTGGATATGTGAATAATTGGATGGATGGTTAGATGAGTGTATAGGTAAATGGAAAGAAGAATGGATGGATTTATAGGTGTGTGGAAGGAGGGATGGATGAAATGCATAGATGGATGGGATAGATAGAAAGAGATGGAAAAATGGACTAATGATAAGAGTTAAAAGTCAAAGATTTTCAAGAAATGGTTTTCACACTTTCTGATAAATGTTGGTGCTTACTGTCTGAGTAACTGCCGCCCCTGTCTCCAGCTCACACTAGATTTTCCACTAGCATTATTGCTTGTTATTACATCGTTTTGGGGTTGTGCTTCTTGATCTTGGTCTTTTGATATTTTTTCTGGGCTGCCCATATCAGTTCCATATTTCAGTCTGTGATATTTTGCCCTAGAAGTCAAAACAGAAATGTGAAACATCAATTTTTTTGCAGCTTAAAGCCATAACAAAAAAAACCCTATTACTAAAGATAGAGGCTGTTCAAAAGAGGTTTTGCACCATCATGTAATGACAGCCATGTTAGATGGCAGAAACAATACAATCGTTTTACATGAGAAAGAATTCAAATCCCTGTTCTGCCATCTAAGCACAGGCAGCCCAAGCTGTAATGGTACAAAACCTCCATGGCCAGACATTGGATCCATTAGTCTGATTAGCATGTGACCAGTCAAGTGGACCACCCAAAAAGGCCCCTGGTCAAACAACTGCCAATTTTGGCCAGATAATTTGTGTTGACTAGCAATCATTTTTAGCTCTGTTACTTTAGACAGACATTTCCCCATTTCAAGCATCAGAGGAGTCATAATCTTTATTTCAGTTACATATACTGTTTCTTCCCAAACATTCCCAATAAATAAAGAAGCAATACTCAAGGTAAAAATGGTTCTAAAATATAAAAAAATTGGTTCTTGAAAGAATAAGRATTTGGTTTTGAGGTTAAAACCTCCAAGTTTTAATACCATCCATCACGATAAGCTGCTTAAACTTGAGTTTAATCTTCACATTTTGATCAATCCAAGCTCACCTTTCCTGTTTTAAAGCATATTCTAACATCTTTATTCTTCGTATTAAATCATGTTTGAGATTTTCTTGTCCTTTTCTCTCTCCTTGTAGAAATGCAATTCTAGCCTGTAAAGAAATATGTACAGGGTCCAAAATTAGTTTTTAAAAGAGGTCTTCCATTGGACAACTAGATTTTAGGATTTAGGCATCCAGCAATATTTTTCAGCAGTTTTTTTCTCACAATCAAATGGCAATTGCAGGTTCAGAATTCATCATATTCACTTTTTTCCTTTTTTTCAGTTAATTTTGAGGTGCCTGAATCAAAAAATTATTGACTGAAAAACATTCGCAGAATGTGCCAATCTGTTAAAATTTTATTCTCAATCCATAATCTGGACATATCATTTGCGAGATCCACTGATCCATACACCTATTCACCCCCTGGTATTATAAAGAAAATCTAATTTGAATAATAAAAAATATTACTAATTGAAGTTTAGTGGGATATTCTGTTATGGACTAGCATCCCATTCAGGTAAGTAGCAACACTTACTTTCATACAGTAAAGTACACCTTCACTATATCAGTACTCTTTCTATAACCCTATGATACAATGTATTTTCCATCAACAAAGAAAGATTCCAAAAATTCCTAAAATTTTGACAAAGGTTTTATGAGAAAAATAGAGTTTAGGTTGACAGCAGTTTGAAGGTAAAAAAAACAAAACTTTGATCTTGATACATTTCTTTGTTTACTAAGGAATGACCATACCATCTGTGCATAGAAAGGTGCAATATAGAGGCAATATTGCCCTATTTGTGCAACGATAAGTACACAATGAATGATTAGATGACAATATGTCAATATAAGTAAGCCCAAATGCTCTCTTGATTAATAGATATCTATCGTGATCTAAATGATTTGAGTGGGTCCTCTCTACAAAGGCAATTGCCTATATGATTTTAATCATGCTTATCATCACGTAYAGGAAAGAATGAAAACATATTATTCTGACAAAATGTTAACATTTTCTTTTCACTTGTTCTTGATCATAAGATTAGAGACTGCTAAGGTAAACCAATTTTCAACATGGATGCATTTGAAAGGATATACCAGTGTGTTAATGAAAATGTATTTCTTGACTAGAGTAATTTCTCCTGAATTAACCATCTTTTTTCCTTTTATACTTGTGTATATTGGCCGTAATATATTGATCTTTAAGAACTATATCCTTCAAAAGCCACCATGAAACGTTTTTGGTCATTAAACCTCCATCAAAATATAGCACAATAGAGTATTGGTCCATTCAGTATCAATGAACGATAGGTAACAAACCAGATGTAACTCAAATCTAACAAAGACTATCAAAATTCATCCTTAAACTCGTGTTCATTCAACCATACTATTTACTATCATTCAAGATTATTATATTTTTGAAAGCATAGCATTAGCATTCCTTCATTTCACCAAGGTTTTCATATGCCTCGGAAAGAAGAACAGCTTCAGATCAGAGTATTTCAATGATTTATACGTTCAAATCAAAGAAACAATGGTTCTCCGGCATTTTGTTTACACTTCTGTGAGCGATCGACAACTTTGACGATTCCAATACAATCGAAAGGTAGCTCGAAAATTTCCCTGCGTTAACCGGAATCAACTAACTAAAAATATTCATAACAAATATTTTTTTACGAAAGAAAAATTCAGAAAAATAACAATTTTTCCGATGCAAAGGATCGGTTGTCAAAATTTGAGTTGCTTTGGAAGGTAATTAATTTTGAAGTTTTATAGCATTTAAAGACGCTCTTCAGAAAAAAGGTGTCTTTACAATGCTATGATTTTGGCTAAAAAATATATATTTATTTTAACTGAGGCTTTAAGTATAACTGAGCATAGTATATCTTTAAAAAAAACAAAGCCGGGGAGGTAATACCAGAGTAATAAAACAATCTGTCTTTACTAGGAATTACAATGCATGTGTGTTCAACTTTGTACTCGGTAGAAACTAAAGACAGAGTGACGTCTATTGATTTACTTAGGAAAAAAGCATCCTTCATCGAGACGCTTTCACTTTGATGCAACGTAGATGTCTTAATATCTAAAGTCATATCGTTTATATTTAGAAATCCGACCACCACGAGATTAGTTAAGAGAGGCCTACGTAGATCACTGAGGTCATTTTAACAAAGTACAAGACTGAATTTACAGTCCTTGTTTTTACGAGTCAAAAACAAACTATAAAATCTATTCCTTAGAATGATAAGTGCTGAATATACGAGGTAAGGTATCTAGGTAGAGATGATCGTCTCCAATGATAACAAATAGGCTAAAAGAGAAGTTTTTCCCTTACCTGAAGCTCTGCCCGCTCAACTTCCCAGTGAGCTCTCTCCATTTCGAATCGAGCCCACTCATGCTGGATAAAATGTAAAATTCCAGGGATTGTAAACTTAGTCCCAGAGTCATTAGCCGAAGCCTGTGAGCTCTGTGGAAGTTTCCCCCCACTGTCAGTGTCCATATCAATCGAAAACATGTCTTACTAGACAGAGAAAGCCATGATAATACTCTATTACGGCTACCACTTCTTCATCGGGAACAGAACCGAATTGAACCGAACGGAAGGCGCGAAGAAAGACGGTAATCAATATTAAAAAACTTTCACTTTCTTGATTAAATATCGGCTAAAACCGCTCCAGTTCACTCAATTGGGGTCCTAATATCGTAGTAGTTGTTGCGAAGCTGTGATATTCTGTTGGGAAATGCTGGAAAAGTGTCTCCATAGACAAGAACTCCAAGAATCATGAAGCCTTACAAACAAATTTTGTGCGACTGAGCTCCTTGACTCTCGCTACAGCCATCGATCACATGACGTACTAGGCCCTTCGCGACTTTTTGGAATTCCAATATACTGATTCGGAAGGTTTCGGAACTACTCGGAAAATCTTCGTAGAAAGGTCGGTTGCTGATAACAAACTTAAATCTCCCGATTTTTATTGAATTGATGAAGAATGAATGCTGCATAAAAAGAAAGTCAAAAACTCTGATTAAAAAAGGGAGGGTAAATTTCTTAAGCAAATGAGAATTCGAAATTCTTGTCCATAAACAAAGGGTAAAAGAGAAGGAATGATAAAATAAAATAATGGATTACGAAATATAGGAGGTCAAGGTCACCTATCCTGAATGACTTTTGGATGGTATTTATTTCTTCTCTTGTTTTGCAATTGGTTTTTTGTTGTTAAGCAATTCCGTTATAGATAGACAGATCCAATGCAAGCCAGAAAAATGATGATGAACAAACATCTGCTCAGAAGACATTTCCCGGAGCAGTTGTGCCCTAAGGCCAAGGACGGGCCAAGAGGGAAAACCTGATGATGATGATAATGTTATCCCAGGATACTGTGCCCCAGACAGAGATATCACCAAATTGTGCAGCCTATCAGAATGCCCCACAGCTCTGCTCTTCCTGAGAATTCCTGAGATTAGCACAGGACACATAAAAAACGAATAGGAATGAGAACGTGACTATGTCAACTAGGATTTAAGATATATATTACTAAGTAATAAAATTGGAATTCATCAATTTTTCATAGTTTTATTTGTTACAAACAATATCATGGTTAGCTAAAATGGAAAATTCTTATCTTACAAAATTTGAATTTTCACTTTGTTTTATCTGGTCTAACCATGAATTACATTATGTAGCAAATTTAAAGGCAAATGCAATATTTCAATATAAGAAATGGTAACATGAATATTAGAAATAAATCAGCACAGATAATTAATTTGTAGCAATGAGATTAATAAATTTGGCCTTCGTTTGAGTGACATTAGAGTAGATCAGGTAGAGTTTCTAGGCCAAAAAGCAAGTAAAAGATGATAAATGCTATACAATATTTTCCTTCATTCCAAATGATTTGAATTAAAAATTTTCTAAAACCCTAATTTAAAATTTTGTGATTTCATTAATTCCAAAAGTCTGAATAGACAGCTGACGCGTCTTTCACTTTTTCATTGTAGCCCTTAATAGGAACAGGTGCTTGCAACCAAACAAGATCTTCTTCTCTTATAGCTTCTTCTTCCTCAGTCATTTCTGTGTCTTTAACAAGTATCCTACAGAAATTTCCCCTCCAAGGAATTTTGAAGGATTGCTTTGGTTTGAACCAGGAGTTCTCAACAGATCTAGGGACTCGGACAAAAACTAATAAAGGAGTTGATGAAATTTCTTTAAAAGAGCGGAGTTCCTGGTTCATTACGAGTGTTCTAATCAACTTTCGTGAGAGTCTTTTCTGACTTGATTCAGACTTGATGTCATTTGATCCTTTAATTGAATTAACGTTTGTTTGAAAATTGATTACGTAGCTTTCTTTCGGGCTGACAGCTGTTGAGCCAAACACCAGTACAACAGAAGACACGGTCGATGACGAAAATAGATGCTCAACGTTTTGGAATAAACACTTCAAATCGTTATAAAGCTGTATTCTTTTCTTGGAGTCATTACGTGAAGAAACGGTCGGGCGTCTTGACACGACATTCCTTCCGCCTTCCGCCATTTCGAGTTCGGTGTACCGCAGTATTTGATCAACTGTTGTTGGAACCTGATGTCTTTCGTATAACAGATACTTGATACATTCAATGACAATCTTCCCTTTAGCCGCATTAGAATCATGCTCACCTAAAACAAAATCTATTTTGAGTTCTGAAGAGTTTTCCATTTTGGCGGCCATTGCGATCACGGGCACATAAAATGGTCAGTGGTTTGCACAAAAAGAAAGTGTTACGATCACTAAATTTAAGTTGGTACCCAGTGCTCCTCGTCCCGCTTGCTCGGCCCAAAGAAAAACATGGCTGCCGGGGAAAGCTTCGTCCAAACTGCAAACGGAGAAGAAGACCCCGGGGAAGAGGACGATGACTGGTCTGATTTTACATCAGATGTAAACACCGCTAGCACATCTACTAATTTTGACGAACACAGTGACAAGAAATCTCTTCCATCGAAGAATAATACGCAGGCTTTTGACAGCGCATCGGAAACGACCAAGCTTTGTTTTCCATTGGCTTCAAGCTCGTCTTCTGATTTATTGAATGGAGAAACGAGTAAAAATGACTTAGAAGAAAAGCCTTCTTTACTTGAAGAACATTTGTAAGTTTTGTAAGCTAGCAGCTCTCTTTGTACGACTTTTTATGAAGTAAAAGTATGGCTTGTGATATTTCTCTCTATTGGGGAGTTCCTTCGCTTTACCCGTATTCGGAAAATCGTCTCAGGGTATATCCTTATGACTAGCAGCTGAAATATTTCCGAGGACAAAACTATAAGATATAAATCACATTAATATTTAAACCTCATGAGAGGTCAAGACTAAGATCTCGTATATTTTATTAAGCTTTTAAGCTTTACACACGCAGCACAAAAAATATCGCGTATAGAGACGTTTCGTGTTGACTTATCCTTAAATGCCAAGGGTTTAAAGCGTTCAGGAGATGATATCTGTAATCAGATAATGTTGTTTTAACTTCCAAAATATAAAGTGTTGTGTTATTGATTCTGACCTGAAGGCTGGTAATGTCATTAAAAAACAATGGGGGAGGGGTAGGGAAAATTTTGTAAGATGTTGAATATTGCCCTCTAATACTTTGAAAAGAACAAGGTGATAGCCAGAAAAGCTGATTTCTTTGTTAAAAGCTCGTCAATAAAACACGTTAAATCTATGAATTTGATGAAAATTTCCTTTGGATTTCTTGTTTAATCGTATGGCACAGGGAGCCCATTCAGATGTTCCAACAGAACCTGTTTACCCTAGTCGTTGACTTGAATAAATTTTATGTTTCAGGCCTTATTCTAGCTATTTTCCTCAGCCAGCTTGGAAAGGATCATGTTTTGAATCTGCTTTGATCAAGTCATTGAATATCTTGTCACCTATTAAGGTGAGTAAAGTACATGTCACTTCCTTGAGAATAAGATTCTTTGTTTGAGTTGTATTCATATTTATGTGTCTTTGGATGCATTACTAATAAACGAAGAAAGGATACTCTAGGGAATGACATTGTCATTCAATAAGGTTGGGTTAACAAGATTAGGTCTACAGATATATCTGAATATACTTACCTTGATTCCCTTATAAGGAAACGTACATTTTTCACTGGGGGTAGGGCTGGGGCTTCAGAGGAGAGGGACATCAGTAAAAAAAAAGAACTTTTATATCAGCATATCTCAAGTGCCCTGATGCATTTGAGGGGAAAAAAAATTAGAGAAAATAGAGGTTCTACTGTAGTCCCTAATGAAACATCATTAAGAGTACCTTTTTATGGTTATAGGGTGTCTTCTGATGTCCTTGGTTTGCTGCCTTGCCACATTTAGAATAGAAAAAGTTAAAAGAGAATCTTCCAACACAGATATATTGTTATATATTTAGGGTGAAGATCAAGGCTGTAACATTGATATTGAAAGAATTCCTGGCCTCTTTAATTTTCACCAACTGTCAGAAAGAAGCATGGACTTTTTGCGATCCTCCCCTAGATGGGATTTGGGACAGAGAATTGACAACAGCTCAGGAATGATGCCAGCAAGATCAAGAGAATCTGGGCTTGATGAAAGCAGTGATAACAATTTGAATGAGTTTACTGGAGATTTAGAAATATGGACTGATTCTGATGGAGCTGATGCTGATGAGTTCTTCTTGTTGTTTGGAAAGGAACAAACAGAGGAAACAAGAAGTCTCGAGGATGGCCATCCTGCAGCTGGTAAGAAAACTACAATGATCCTTTTCCGTAGTTCTTGAGGAGACTAGACCTTTTCTGAGATAGCAAACATGTTGCATCATGGTCTAGCTTGGGGACAAATATCTTTTGTCCCTCATGCCTTATATGGTGTTGTTTGTACCAAATCTAGTTCTTGAGGAGCATAGACATTTTCTGAGTTAAAACATGGTGCATTATGGTCTAGCTTGGGTACTTATAAACATCTTTTACTGTATGCCTTTATAGGTGTTGTTTGTACCAAATCTACACCACAATGCATCATGTTTATCAAGTTCAGAAAATGGTTCTGTAATGCCATAGCTGCCTTGCATGTCCTCTATGACTCAACCTAAACTGATTTGGTCTTGTTTTGTTTGTTTGTTTGTTTGTTTTTTTGCTACATCAACAACATGGTGGCCAAGTCTTTCATTCTTTTACTATCATGGTAAAGGGTGAGATGAAAAAAGTACCATGAACTATGAAAATGTATCTAAAGAAAAAAAGAAAAGCAGAATGTCATGAATAAGCCATTGATTATTCAACTGTGCAGGTCTTCATCAACTTGCTTATGAGGAACTCCAAGATCTTAGAGATGAGATGGCGACATACGTAAAGGAGTATTCTGATGTACTTGTGGAAGAACTTATCGTCAAAGACGAACAGTTACGAGAAAAAGAACTGAAAAACTCTTTTATTTCATCATTATTAACACTTCAGTCTAAATTACGTGATGTTCAATCTAGTCAGGGAAAGAAGAAAAACGTACCATCTGCAAATATAGTAAGTACCTTTAAAACTAAAACAAAAGGTTTTTGTATCTATTTTATAGTATTTCATACAGTGGATTATATTAGTATGCAAAGTTACTATATCAAGGCATGTAATGCAAACATTATATCAATATGTAATAGGGTGGTAAAAGGTTATTTCATGAAACGTGATTGGACTTTCTATTATTTGAATAAGAAATCGCCATTTTCGTTTTTTTCTTGAAACATGATTTGACCGTTTTATTTTCCATGAAACATTACCAAACCCCACCCCCACCCCCCCCCAAATTTACCACCCTGATGTGACAGTGCTTTATAACTTATTAGCACTATTTTGTGCAAAAAAGCACTCATGAAGCACTACAAAATGATAGACATTGCACTGTTTTGTACTATTTAGTTACAAAAATATTGTTTTACCAATTCTTTGTTGGATAACTCTGACCAACAAGCTTTTTTGTATTTGTTCAAAGTATCTTACAACTGTGATACCATACGAGGAAAAAATGGGAGGACCAAACAAGCAAAGCTTAGAGAAGTTAATAGAAAGTAAGTCATTAATGAAAATATTAACTATTACCACTCTTTTCATTGCTACGTACTGATCAAGGCAACAGTTCCAACATGGAAATTGGGCAATGCACTTCCGTCAATCAAATAAGTTGGTGGGTACCTTTATATTCTCTGATTGGTGGCAGTGTATTGCCCTATTTTCCTGTTGTGACTGTTGTTTTGATCAGTGCAAAGCAGTGAAAAGTGGTAAAATATTTAGTTTCATAAAATATTCATGCCTCCCTGTTATATCAGGGAATTGAAATTTTTAGAAGGGGCTGGTCTCCTTAAGAAGTCTTTTTTGGAAGAAGTATGGTTTTCATTTGTTGGTTATGAGAAGGATAAAGTAAAGATTAACCATACAGGAATCACTTGGGTCTAATACCTGTCATTTTGTAATCATTTTGTAGCTTACTATTTTGTGTGTGAGTGGAAGTAGTCAAATAGTAATATCGATAGAACCAAAAACCAATAGTAATATTAATGTTCTTCAGTTATGGATGCCATGAAATGTGACAGTCCAACAGTACCAAACCTATTAACAGAGTATATTTTAAAAGGTAAAGTAACATAAATGAGCTAGGGCTTATAACAAGAGTATGATGAGTAGCTCAATTAATTTCCTTAACCCCAGCCCCATGAGGAAAGAAATTTCTAAGGGGTGGGTAAGGTCTTTGCTTCCCTGCTAGCAGAGTCTCATTGGCGATGTCTTGTAGGGAAGATTTTTACAAAATATAAAAGACAGTGGCTGTAGATTACTGCTTTGAGCTTTGTTAGATCATGCATGTAATTAAGGAAAGAACTTGAAACTTCCCTTTTTTCTCCTAGTTCTTTGTCCATAGTTCATTAGGGGAAAGAAAGGTTTCTTTAAAGGTAAGTGTCTTCATTTTAGCATGATTTTGTGTTATCGTAAGAAGAGCCATGTACAAAATAATATTTTCCAGTATATCTTAAAGTTTCCTTTGCTATTCTGTTATTTCCTCATACTTTAAGAATTATTATTCTACAATTAAGTTAGAGAGGGAGGGAAGGAAGGGATATTTGACCAAAAAAAAAATAATAATAATAATGGTTTAATCAATAGAATCCAAGAGGTGGCTCTTCACCTATTGATAAACTATCTAATATACAATAACACACACACGAGATAAACTTACAATAATAAACTATGAAACTATAAAATAGACAAATTTTAGAAAAAGATAAGAAATAAGATTGAAAATTATTGGAAATTTCTTATTGCTTAATTCTAAAGCGATGTTATAATTATGTATGAAAGAAAAGGATAAAATTGCAGATATTGGGGGTACGCTATAATATATTAATAAGATATTCAATTATCTTGCACTTGTGATATGATGGTTGCTATGTTTATCTTACAGATGACGTGGTTGCTGCCTCAACAATAGAATATTATGTTTATAAATAAAATATCAGCAAGATGCCGATACACATAGCTTTATAAATTGCATGGCTTGAGCCAAGAGTAAACAGATAGAGCAACAATTTCATCAACTCTTATAATCATGGACACGACAAGAAAAGATAGCAGCAGTCCACTGAGTATTATGGCTAGCCAATGAGGAGTTTGGTTATTATGACAAAATAGATTACTACTGGATAATAATGCTTTGTCAACACTGTATCCTTCATCCAAGAAATCAAGACCAAGAGATATTTTGAGCATTACAGACCTATGGTTGGCCAATGGTATGGCTTGTTATGTGACATTTTAACCTGTCAATCAGAAAGTAAGAACCTGGACCATTTTGTCACTGGATAACCTGATATTGTCAGTCAAAAACTAATTGAAAACACCACCACCAAAAGATAAAAATGCATGAAAATAAATATCAAAAGGGGGAATCTGTAATGCCGTAGACAAAATAAGGACACAATGGCAACTACATATGAATTGCAGCAGTGATAATGATTATAAGACAAAGTAAAGAATCAAAGGATACAAGAAATGGATAACTCTGAAAAACTAATGCATTTTTACCTCTCGTTTTGAGAGGGAGAAATGCAGAATCTCAGACAGAGGAATTAAACATTTAAAAATCATGAGGGACAGTTGATTGGGTGAGGATCAGAATGGGTGAAAAATATGGCAGATGTGGAATTTTCCCATACGCTTTGCAAGGACCTTGAATTTTTTGGAAATTCAATTAATGAAGGGGAAAATTCAATTCACCATTTTCTCATCCATCCTTCCTGTAAGAATTAACGGTTCTCGAGTTTCCAAAAAGGAGTTGAATTATGAAGAGGACATTTTTGCATGTTATGTTCAGTATGTAGATAAGGTTTTTTTATACAAAAGCACTATAATTTATTATCTCAAATATTTTAATTTGTTTTAAAATAATAACAATTTTTTATCAAAGAATTAACTCGTTATTTTTCGAAGAAAGCAATTTGTTTTTATAGTTTTACTTTTTATTATTCATCCAGGCCCTAATCCTCTAGACTCAATTACTTGCCTTTGGCTGAAATGTAAGCAAGAGAGGAACCAAGTTGTCATTCATGTTTGCTCTGCCAAAACAGAAATTGTATATTGCATCCTATAACTAGAAGCTTCTAACAGAAAATACATGAAATTGAATAGAAATGTTTCCTAATCTCATCAGCTTGTTGAAAATAATAATAAAATAAAGAAATGAAATGCAATGTGAAATAATCCAATGACACTTTTACGAGGCTTGTGTGAATTGGATTGGACTACATTTCTTTAAAATTGAAATTTACATTAGTGTAAAAGGTTATTTTTGATTTCAATAAAGGACTAAGAATCTATGCTGATGACCTCCAGAAAAGGTGTTGCTGAATGATTTTTAACCCCTAAGAGATACCACAACAAATAATATTAAATTTTATAAAAAAAGCCCCTAGGATAACCCATACAAATGCGCTTTCCTCCTTTTCTGACACCCCAAGAGATACCAGAGAACACTAATTTTCAAAAATTCGCATTCAACACCTTAAAAGATCATACCAAATCGCAAATTTTTACCCCTAAGAGATACAACAAGCATCCCCAGTACTTTTTTCCCAGAGTCCCCCCCCCCAGGGACGACCTAGTACATTATGGGTAGGTTGACAGCTGAGTGTCGGTGAGTTTTTGCTTCAACAACAATAGGGCTTCAAACTCAGCTGCATTAGTTAGTTTTGTTTAGATATACTACTCTTCCCAATAGACCGAGGTAGTTGTGATTTTTTAATCGCCTTCGTAGCATCTGTTATGTTATCCGCAAGTACATTTCAAATCGACCACGTGATGCCAATGTTGTACGACGAGGACAAGTTTTTTACACCACGTGATTAAAACTTGACTGAATTTTGATCACGTGGTGTAAAAAACTTGTCCACGTGGTACAACATTGGCATCACGTGGTCGATTTGAAATGTACTTGCGGATAACATAACAGATGCTATGAAGGCGATTAAAAAATCACGACTACCTCGGTCTACTGGGAAGAGTAGTATAGGGTAGTGGTGGTTAAAGATTGCAAGAAAGTTAATGAAAGAACAATAGTCAGGTAGGTTGTCAGCAAGTACATTAATGAAAAGACTGTTTATGAAGACAGGTCTATCAATAGAGGCTTTGCGCCATCATGTGATGGCAGCCATGACAGGAGGTAGGAACAATTTAATCTGATTTACGTAAGAAAGAATTCAGTTCCTGGGGGAAAAGACTATTATTGTACCTTCTGTCATGGCTGTGATCACGTAATGGTTTAGTGCAGATTGTGGTACTGAGTGTGAGTTCACAGAGCCCTGCTGAAAAGCACTTATCGTGATGTAGGCCGTCTGTGAAAGGATTGCTATTATTACCCACAAAATCCATTAAAAGTGTAAGGAACATTTTATTAAATCACATGTTCACCCAAACAAAAAATATATCCTTAGCTCACTTCAAAGATAAATTATCCCTGACCTAATATTTAACCTTTCAAGGATCATTCCCCTGCATTGTACAATACTAAGCTACAAGGTGTGTGTACCCTAAAATTTTGGGTCTAAAATTAATCAAATTGGTGAATATGCTTTCTTGAGTGGAACAAATTTCCATTTCAAATATATTGTTACAGCAATTTAAATGATTGATTAAAAAAGATTGTTTGAAGTGCACTGTCCTGTATGAGTTTCCTGTATGGTAGATACCAGTACAAGCTAATTGAAAAATCTTGAAGCACATGCATCGTATCAAAATACACATAGTTTGAAGTGCACTGTCCTGTATGAGTTTCCTGTACAGTAGATACCAGTACAAGCTAATAATTGCAAAATCTTGAAGCACATGCATCATATCAAAATATACATAGTTTGAAGTGCACTGTCCTGTATGAGTTTCCTGTACAGTAGATACCAGTACAAGCAAATTGCAAAATCTTGAAGCACATGCATCGTATCAAAATACACCTGAAAAATAGGTCAGCCTCGTAGTGTGTTGAATTCATTAGTCCTTTTAGCACTTGGAGAGGAAAATGATGTCTTTGAAAATCAGTTACTCATGAATACCATAACCATTAAAGAGATGTTGCAATAATTAAGAATCACTGCAATATTTGCATTTAGCAATCAGTGATTGCTAGCAATTTTCTCTTCCTTCTTTGCAACACTTCTGTTTAGACTAAATAATTCATGAATCATTTGAGAAAAAGTTTTTGATTTTCCTTCTTTATGTTCATTAAAGATAATGTGATCAAGATGATTCAGAAATTTAAGTTGATGTGAGAATTTGTATGCGTAGTACATGCTGATTTCATAACAATTCTTTTTCTCCAACATCAGTTTGTGCATGCGTCACTCTTCTTGAAGTTGTCTGCCTTTTTAACAAACTTGAGGTCCTAGAGGCTCCCTCTTTTCCAAGCTGACTTCTGATGATCCAGTACTTGTAGGAATAGTTGCCGTAGAGCTTGCATTTGAGGAACCAGCTCGAATTTTTCCATAAGAAGCTGAAGATCCAGTTCTCAGTCTTGAAACTAAAATTCAAGAATAAAATTTGAGAACAAAGTAAATACTGAAAATAAAAGAAATCCTACATAGAACCATTACCTGGCAGTTGTATAAAAAAGGAGTCAAACATTTCTTCCTAAAATTCAGGTTTACACTTTACGTTGCATATTGTTTTTGGCATGAGAAGAGTGGAGGCTTTTGAGAAATCCTATAGTGTCCCATGTTAGGTAAATATAGAGAATCCTTTCAGCAGAAACATTCACACCAAGGTAAATGCTTATCCATGCATCCTAACCTAAGACTCTTGCCATGCCACTACTACTACCCTTACTTTATAGTATTTCTGTAAAAAAGGTATGCTTTTACCTTTCCATATTAAGATACTTACCATAACCATTTCCCTGTAAAAATAAGATTATAGCTTGAGCCACTTTGTGTGGTTGTTCCTCCAGTGGCATGCCCCCACAGTCTGACACCTTCATATAATCTGTTAGAGCGGGGTTCATTTTACCATTTGCCTCTGCAACCTCATTCTGGTGAGGTGCTGAAGAGCCTGTTAAAAGCAGTGTGTGACAATCAAGGGTTTTTCTGTTAGGGTTTGGAGCTGTTCCCTCAGGTCTATACATATCGATGATTGTTCGGTTTATGTAGGAATTGAGGAAAGGTCCAAGACATGCTGGGTTCAGAAGATTTCGAAGACTTTCTTTGTAAGCCAGGGCAAGATCCATGTTTTCAATTTTGGTTTTTTCACCAAAATGATGCCACAGGAAATAGTCCTCAACAAACGTTGTCATCCCCTTGCTCTGAAGCTGTCGTACACAGACCTGTCATTAAAAGAATTCATACCATTAACTTTATCCTGTGTAATTCATCTTTCCATTGTTCAGCAAATGACTGGTAATGCTCTTAAAATGCAATAAACTGTCTTCCATCAATAGGATGGTGTCATTGACCTCTACTACCAGACTCCCTTGCAAACTTTCTTTTGTTCAGTTAATTAGCACCAGTTGTCTTACTATTCTCATGAGGGAATACAAATTTGAATAAGAAAGAAAATTTGTGAAGCATTATGGTAGTGGGAGTCAAAATGACACCATCGTGCAAATGTCCTATCAATGGAAACGCAAAACCAAGTTGGATTGGATAAATAGTCTTTGTCTGGGGTGCTGGAAATTCAAGTGCTTTGGGAAGAATTTACCGGGAATAAACAATGGCTCTTATTCTTATCAGTATAGCTATAAATTGACAACAGCCAATACCCAGTCTGCATTCACCAAGTCCCAAGAGGAATTGTTCTGGGAGACAAAACAATAATTTTTGATTTTTTTTTTTTTTTTTTTTGCATAAGAAAAGACAGCCTATTGTTTTGTTCCCCAGAACAATTCCTCTAGGAAATCAATGCAAGGGATCTATATTTTTTATCACAGAGGAAATTAATTAAATTACATCAAAACATGGCACACCTTTAACACTAAAAGTGTCCAAATAAACACAACTCAAACAGCACACATAGTTGATTTACAACAAAAATGCTCCGAATCCCTGCTTAAACAATTTGTGCTGGAAATAAATTTGGTGGGTGTTTCCAATAATGAGTAAAATATTAAATGCCATTCACGAAGAAAATTTTTTTGATGAGCTTAATGACAGGCCATTGGCGCAATGTCAACAAACGGTTATGTAAATTTACCAGTGCGTTAAGTAAAATTCGATTTTATTCGCAACACGATACTATACTTAATGGAAAATCACTAATCTTTGAGTTACCAAATACCTGAAACAGTGTCAAAGTTTGAAATAATGAAATCGTATTCAGCTTTGGCTTTGCTGTTCATGCAGTGAGTGAGTGTTGAGGTGCAAAAGGAAGGTGTCTTTGATTCGTCTTACATTGCGTCAACACGTTATGTTATCTCAAAGTTCATCGACCCATGGCGCAGCTTACCTTTTCATAACCCCACTCAATCCAACCAGCTTTTGAAGTCGTAAGGTTCACAAGTATGAGAGCGTCCACTTGATCGGGATACAACAGGCCATATCTGCATAGCACATTAGAACCAGCACCAATTCCGAATCCAATGAAAGTCTTGATGCCCATTTGCTCAACTACCTCACGAACTACCTTCGATGCGAGCTCCTCCAGTGTAGGATAGACATAATTCTCTGGTAGAGTGGACTTTGCGCTATCCTGTCCCGGAGCATCGATGTGGTAGATACAGAAGTGATCAAGCAAGGGTCGTACTTCAACAAAGTTGAAGAATCCCAAGAAAGCCGAGGTGTGATTCTGTCCGATATCATGGAAGGTCACAATAGCGGGTTTACCCTCTTTGCCTTGGACGGACACATGAACGCTACCAAATGTCGTCTGGACATCACGCTCCGATAAGAGAGAGAGGAATTCACTGTCATCATGCGAGAGGGTTTTGCGATCGGAATCATGTACTTGGATTCCAGTCAGTTCAATTAAAGGCTCGCTTTCCATCATCTTGTTTCTTTTCCTGAATATCAATGATCCGAAGACTAAACTCGCTAAGCACTATGGGAATGAACCCAGGCTTACTCGGCCTGATCTATTTTTAGTAACAAAAACAACAAGATTCCTTGGCGTCCATAGCAATATTACTAAAGTCTCGATTTTCCTCCAATAAATTCATAAATGGATCAACAAAACCTGTAGGTTTATCAAAGATACTCAATGAGGATTTTCTCGGAGAAAATCCATTGACAACAGGATTTTATAAAGGTCCAATGACAGTTAATGTCAATAAAATGGCGGAAGAAGACGCAAAGATGTCGTCAGAAACGACTATTACTTCTCCTAGTGAGGGCAGGCGTATCGACAGAGAAGAAGAGAATAAGATGCCGGAAAGAACTGAAGATATTGCTGTAGGAGCAGAGGATGAAGAAAAAGAAGTTGCTGAAGAGAATGGAAAAGAAAATGAAGACAATAATGAAGCAGGGAATTTGCAAAACATCGAAGCAAAGGATCCAGAAGAGTTGACTGGAAAAGATCGTCTTGTTCTGTACGAGAAGGGTGTCAGGTATTTTTGATTTCAAGCTGTTTTTAGAATTTTGTGAAGATATTCTAACATACTACCATGATTAGGAATTATTATTATGGTATAGCCAAGTGTATTGTTGGGGGAAGACACAGTACTAGTACTTAACTTGCTCCCCTTGGGGGTGGGGGTGSTAAGGCTGGGGTAGGCTGAGGGTGAACCTAAATTTGACAGAGAAAGGGAAATGTGTTTAATATAAAGTTGTAAAACCATCCTTGTAGTGTGTTGGATACCATCCATGCAGATAATAGCTGCGTGCAGCCCGACTTCTAACACTTGTAACTAGAGTTAAAGTCAGGCTGCATGTAGGCTAGCAGATGATTACAAACAAATATTAGCATTGCATGATTTTTCATAACTTTTTTTTTTCTTTTCCTTTCATATTCTTTGCAAGACTTAAGGTAAAGTCCAACTTTTAGTACAAGTTAAAAATATCATAATTAAGTCATCCAATAGTGAGTTGCATGAGGCAAGTATGATACCACAGAGAGAGAAAGAGAGGGACAATCAGTGGAAACATTTGGCAACAGTGTTTCATTGTATATGACAATAAAATGTCATTGATAATACAGTGGCCCCCTCTCATCCCTTCCCTTGAGTCAATGTAGCTGGCTCCTAATTCTCCTACAGTTAAACCAGTGATCCACAGTTTCTGCTAATGCCGCTTCAATTATTTTATCAATTAAATTATTCAATCAAATCACCTATATTTATTTGATATATATTATCTATATCCAGAGGAAAGGGAACAACAAGCATGCTTTACCATGTTTCTTGAGCTGCTTACAAGGACTAAAGGAGAGAGATCATTTTCCTGTCTTACCAGAATGTTTGCATAATGTGAGTTAATATTATATATATTTATATTATTATTTATGTATGTGACATAACAAAGTTGTAAGTGATCATTTATCTAAAAACATTTCCATTTATTCAATTTTCTTCTTTCACTGGCAGATTGCAGAAATATACAGTCAAGAAGAAGAATGTATCTTTTTAAATCTTTTTTATATGGATACTATGGCATAAGAATTAAAAAATGTGAGAGGTAGTTATCTAAAGACAGGTTATTGGGGGTAACTTGAGACTCATGATGGACTAGCATCCCATAGAGATTGGAGTGGTGACATACCTAGCCACTTTCTGGTGCAGTAACTTGAAAAAAGTGAATGCCAGTAGAGATGACTGAGACCTGTTTGCTTCACCAATTTTGACAGAGACAAACTTATTATTTCCCTGCTAAATTCCCTTAACTGAATGCTCTATTAAGATGAGGCAGCTATTCAGTTTGCTCAAGCAGAAAAACTCTACTACGAAACAGCATTAATCACAGTTGACAACAAAGCTGAACTTGACGCAAATGCTAGCAACATTGACATCACATCATCAGAGGTTAGCAATGCTTGAGCAATGTTTAAAAACTGAGAGGCATGTGTGTGTTTCTGTCAGGGTAAATTAAGCGGATATAAATATAGGGTAATTCTCCCAGGGGGTGTACTCGGGTGGGTAACATGACAGGGGGGGGGTGTCCGACAGAGCTTCACATTGCAACCCAAAAAAAATACTCAAATCTGAAATTTTACACCCAAAAAATACATGGCATCAGTATGTTTCTTAACAGAACTCACTCACACCTTTCTGGAAAAAATCAAACAAATAATTTTCTGATACAAAAATCGAACTCGGAGATGTGATGACCCAAAAAAAAACGGTTTCATTTCGAGACCTAAAAAAATATGTGGCTGGTCTCTTGACCCAAAAAATACCAGGAACGAAAATTGTCAACCCAAAAAAATACATCAAACCTCGCCATCATGTTACCCACCCCAGTACACCCCCTGGGGTAATTCTACACTTCTTTTAGGCAAGAGGTTCTCCATCTGCCAACTCCACTGATGCACAGAAAGCTGAAGAATATGAAAAACTTGCTCACATGTGCTTAAAACAACAAAAGTAAGAATTTCTTTAGAAAGCAGAGCTTTTTTCACTCTAAAATTTATCTAAAAGTTGGATTTTTTTTCTTGACCACAGCCCACAACTGGCCCTTGACTACTGTGCTAAGGTGAGAAAAGACTCATTTCAAGAAAAAAACTAGTTTCTTTAGCTTTTAGTTTAGTTCTGTTTCCATATCAGTGCTTTGCTTTAAGGTTCTTTAAGCAGAGACTTTCACTTAGAAAAACTAACTCTATTCTTTTTGGAGGTTAAAAATAAATTGATAGCAAAAAATAAGTCAACCAATCCTCACTTGCCTTGGAGATTTAACAGCTGAGCTCCTAGTAAAGGGTGGGAACCTTTACAGTTAATTATCGAGCCATTTGTAATTTTGTAGGCAGTAAAATTACAACAGTCTTGCTATGGAGAGCAGCACCCAGTAACCCTGAAGACACTAGACTTGTTTACTGTGATATATGCAGAGATGGGCAAGCAGCAGTACAAAGGTATTAATTTCTGCCCATTTGGTCAATAGTGAAGATATTGAACTGCAAATGTGCAGTTAGAGCAGTAGCTTCTCTCAGATAAACTGTTATACTCCATCATCTCCCAAACATAGTAAAATTCTATCATCAACCTACCAATACCCCCGACCAACATCCAATCATCACTTCACCAGCACCCTAGCAACAACCTACTGACACTTTACCTTCAACCCCAACTATACCCCAGCCCCCCCACCCCCACCCAACCCCCAAAAAAGACACCCAAACTTGCAAAGTGTTCAGTATCTACATTTTGGTTCATTATATGATCATATAGCTGCATTGGAAAAATTCTCTGCTGCACAAGAAAAAGAAAAGGAGGCAAAAGCCTCTAAAAAAACTCCAAATGAGAATGCAGGCCCTACTGAAGATGCCACACAAGAAAAACATCGTATTAAAGAAAGTGATCAAACTACTCGTACTGAGATGGAAGATGTGAAGCAAGGACACAAACAAGAACAAACAGAAAGTACAACAGGTAAAGTACAACTTGGCATGTGATTCCATGACTATAAATTTGTTTAGATGCAATATAAATGGTAGTACTTGATAAATACAGTAATTTATACTTTACAACCATTGCTCCCTGTATAGGGCTTTTCTGTGAGGTTCTCTCTATACAAACTACCACTACATTCACTATTAACATCACCTAGCACTCAACTCACATGTTTGGGAAGAGAAAGGTTTCAAATTACAGGCAGTTCCAGTTATCCAGGGTAAATATTGTAGTGATGTGGCAGGAAGTGGCCTCAAGTTTGAGATAACGACAGGAAGTTCGAGATATGAGGGCTCTATTGTATTTTAAAATAATCCCATTGCAAGGTTGTCAGCAGAAGGATGCTTGTCAAGAATATACTTTTTAACATTCATTTTAATGTACTTGTTTTTCAGAAGAAACTACTTCAACATCACAAGATACAGTAAAGGTCACCATGACATCTTCACAGGCATTGATGCTGTACTTCATCATAACCATTCTACTGGCTGTTATACTGACCACTGGTTTGTGCTACATGACCCAAACAGATCTCACAACCACTTACAACTACATGATAACAAGAATCCGCTTCTATTATTATTACTACTTCAAAAGAAATGGATCAAATGGACATCAGTATTTTTAGACCTACAACATGTCGATAGATTATTAGCTCTCTTAGAACTTAGTAAGAGGCTCATCAGTTTTTAAATTAACTTTTAATGCTTAAAAGCATTTTCATCTACAAATTAGAGGTGTATGAATGCTGGGACAATCTTTGCTCACTCTTTTCACCACCTTATATTTGACTAAAATGTGAGAAAGTGGTGTCTTTGTCAACAGTCATCTTTTCAATCAAATAATATACATGGGATGGGGAGGGGGGGAGACATTTACTAAATTTAGACTAAATTTAAGGTGTGGTGTGACATGATAAGACTGGCTCTGACCACAGGGTGACCATTTTGTTCCGTAACAACCACTCTTGATCTCAGTTTAAACTTTTAATAAATAGGTTGTAACAAATTCCAGTAGTAAAGGATAGAGTCACATGTCACTGTTACCATGTGAACTCGTTTTAAATCAAAGCCCTTGTCTCTAAAGGGACATGTCAGTGTTACATGGCAACTTGTCTTAAATCAAAGCCTTGTCTCTAACTTGCATCAACTTGTATCCATTTCAGTCTCCTCATTTTGCTTGTATGATTTTATTTTCTTTGAAAATTTTGCATCGGGATGAATATTTTCAGGATTTCTGCAAGTGTTGAGTTTTTTTTCAAGCATCTTTACCTGATCTTTACCCACAAGCAACCTTTCCTTGGTTACTAGACTAATTACTTGCTTTACTTGTTGCAATAATTTTGCATTTTTCTCATTGTTCCCAAGAATTTCTTTGACATATCTGTTAACTTCGGCTTTCTCACAACCATAACTAAGAGCAGCAAGTCCTATCTGTGATGGCGAGAACAAAAACCATGCATCACTTCGTAAGGCCAAGTGAAGAAACTCATCTGCCTTGGCGCGCCATCTGTCAGGGTTGATTGACATCCTAGTTTTCATGTCAATTATAAATCCCTCCATTGGCCTATAGGGGTTGTGTACTGTTAGATGAAAGTCCAAGCGCTGCATTAGAAGCAACTCGTGCGAAAGAATGAAATCAATGGCTTTTTCTCTCCGATCACCAGGCAAGATGCAGACGAATTTCTCAGCCGAGATGTTGTATTCATCCACTTTGCAGGCCATATACAAACAGATCAAATACATCTCCTTCGGTGGATAGTCCATCACAGATGTCTTGAGATAAAACCTTTTCATGTAAGTCACTGCTGTAGCCACTGCAGACCAAGGGATTGGAGGCTGGAATTTTGCCGAGACATCGGTCAAAACTACCTCGTAGTACTCAACCAGCTTTTTTTCTTCTTCAGTTGTTAGAAAGTCGTCTACATTCTTTTTAGTAATGCTCTCATTGTAGCGCGTTTTATACTCGGAATTAACGCTAACTCTTAAGTTTTCTATTTCTTCTGGACTACTGAATGTCCAGTGCTTTCGTTGTGTGCTGGTATGAAACATATTTTTGGATAGATCGGCTTCAAAATCTAAAACCTTTCTGAACAAATACCTTCAAACAAACTCCAACTTGCCTTGGAATGACTTGCACTAACATGAGCCCGCGCGACAGAAGTTGTTGGAAGAATGAAAACTAGTTAGCGATAAAAGCTTTTAAAAATATATATTTGCTAATAGTTTTTCTAATATGTTTTGGCAATTTTTTCCTTATTCATTTCCCTGTATTTGAAAATGCTATTTATTATATAGCTGCATGGGAGTTTTCTCTTGATGTATTTTATATTTTTGATGTGGGATTCCTGTGGTGGAAGCTATCAGCGGACTTCATTCATCCATTAGTAAAAATGTGAAGTGTTCAGAGGTTCAAAGAAATATTTTCTAGTTTTGCTGTTGAGAGCGAAACGTTCTCAAAAGAATAAGAAAGAATGAGCAGAAGAGGTATTAAAGCGCCATTCTGGGCTAATGCAACGAGAAAAGCTGGTTTCGATAGAGAAAGCTCTTCAACTTCAACCCAAAAATCTGAAATGATGGAAGAGGATGAAGACTTTGATGTATTACCTCCACCGCCAGACACCAAAGAGCTCACTGAAAAAGGTTTGTTTTACGTTTCTTACGTTAGAACAGATATCAAGGAGCTTTTAAATAGAGCAAAATATGCCTAGAAGATTAGATGACACAGCATTATTGTTTGAATTTTCAATTCTTGGTTTTCTTGTCTCCAGAGCTTACAACAAACACTGCAAGTAATGCTTCCCCATGTTGTACATATGCACAAAAACAACCTAGAACACTAGCCTCACAAGAAAAGAGCCCCAAAAGACTAAGGACTCATTCAACAGGTGAAAGTGAAGCTTCAGACTTCATACCGCCTGAAAATCCATGCTTTGTTGACAGCGCTGATGTTGGAAGAACATGGTACTACACAAGAAGGAATAACAGGAGACACAGAAACAGAAGTATTCCATTCAAGATTGTAACCTACAATGTCTTAGCAGATTCACTGCTTAAATCTCATCCAGCACTTTATGAGGACTGTTCTGCTTGGTGTCTGGAATGGGAATACAGGAAGAAGAATCTCCTTAAGGAAATACTCCACTATAATGCTGATGTATGAGTCTGTTTGGCATATTATTTTTTTATTATTATTATTTCTTGTACAATGGTCTATATATTATATGGAGCAGAGACGCATGCAAATAGTCCAGCCCCTTCACAGTCCCTGTTTTACCAATGCCTGTGTATTGAAGTGAGGATGGTGGTGACCTTGCAGTAATAGCGACCTTTTTTAACACCTTGGGCAATTATTCACATGTCTCTATCTTTGCAAGGTTGCCAACATTCAATGGCACAGTTACCTTTCAAGATGGCACAGGGAACTGTGAAGGGAACTTTTCAGGGGGTGTATTTAGAATTTTCCTTGAGGAAAGAAGTCTTGCTTTCCATTTCAACAGATATATCACTCCTCCCTCGCCTCCCCTCCCCTCCCCTCCCCAATAACCCCAGGAACCCCAATAACCTCTAGATATACCTGCAATAGTAGGTTGGGGTGGATAATCTATTTTCATTTTCAACATTCAGCAATTAACAGGAGCAGATCAGGGTCTGGGGGAGAGGGGTCAGTCAGAAAATTGTGCACACCCCCTGAGGAAAATTGAGTTTTTTGTTAAATTTTAGATTTTGTGCCTCCAAGAAGTTGAAGATCAACATTACGAAAATTGGTTTAAACCTGAACTACTAAAAGCTGGTAAGAGGAACAATATATTGACATTGAAGCCCGTCTTTTGACTCCTCCCAAAATTTAACCCTTATAGATGTCAGCGGTTAGAGACAAATAGAATATACAGTATACACTCTTCACACTCTCCCCACCCCTTCAACATTCCTGTGGGGGGGGGGGGGGGGGGGGGAGGTGTGGGTTTTTGTGAAACTATAAACAAATAAGATATTTATTCCGTAGGATATCAGGGGACTTACAAGAAGAGAACTGGTGATAAAGTAGATGGATGTGCAACATTCTACAAAGAATCAAAATTTAGAATTGTAACTCACCAATTCTTTGACTACAAGAGAGAAGATGTTCCAGTGATGGATAGAGATAATGTGGCAATGTTAACGCTACTCTATCCACGGTACCGGGATGGTGGTACATGCCACAGCACAGCATTGTGTGTGGTCAATACTCATCTGTTATTTAACAAGAATAGAGGAGACATCAAATTGTTACAACTGGCTTGTCTGTTTGCTGAAATAGATAAACTAAAGAAAGAGTATCTCCTTAGTAAAGCAGTGCGTAAGCCCCATACGAGCATCAAGAAGATACCAGTTGTTCTATCAGGGGACTTCAACACTACACCTTTCTGTCCTCTTTACAATTTTATCACCAGAGGCTTTTTGGATTACAAGGGAATGAATAAAAAAGCACTGTCAGGGCAGAACCCACCCCATCATGTTGTGTACAGAGACAGAGATGTGATCAATGGGAACATTGTTCCATTAGAGTTGGGTCTTTCCCACCTGAGTGTGTGGGACGAGGAGCCTGCTCCTGCCCAAGATCAGGCTGGTGGTACTTCAAGTTCTCAAACCAATAGCATCTTTGCTGAAGACAATTTTGATGCAGCAAATTCTGGTTGGCAGGAAGGTCGGCAGGAATATAGCTCCACTTTTCACTCTGCTATGCCTCAACAAAGGGGTACCAGTAGTAACATACCACCTCTTTTATCTCAACATCAGCAGACTACTTATAGATATCATAGAGGGCATCCGTTTGAACCTGCTGTAACTTATCATGCAGGCAATATGACTGTATCAATGCTGTCTAGACATCAACTTAATACTTTCAGTGGTAACATAGGGACTCTCTTCACCCCCAGACAAGCTGTAGATGATCTTCCAAGGTACCATGTACCCCCAGAGCCTGTGAATCCTAGGCACAACCCAACATGTACAATTCTTAAACACAACTTACACTTCTATAGTGTATACAGGCACTACCTGCCAAACAGGATCAAAGAAGTAACCACTTATCATGAGAAGGAACCGAGCTGTACCGTGGACTATATGTTTATCGCAGCAGGCAGGGAGTTCTCATGTAGTAGCTGTAGACAGAGACATGCTGCGTTAGAGCTGACGGATAGCTTGCGGCTTCTGAGTGAGGAGCAGATATCGTTACTGGGTGGTTTACCCAATCAGAAACTGTCGTCGGATCATTTAGCTTTAGTTGCTGGTTTTGTTCTCCATGTTTAATGGTATGTTAAAGTTTTGTTAATAATTATTGAATATAAAATCAGCAGAAATTTATGCAAGCATTCGTGAGAAAAATATCATAGTAAAAGAAAACGTTTTGAATTTAAATGAATAAATATAAAATACATTAGATATTGATATTGATATTGGCAGTCTTCCCCCTTCACGTCACCCAGCCTTTCCAGCCTTTAGACTGCATTCATGATGTATGGCAGGGGGGGCAGGTGAAATTTAGGGGGGATTGAAAAAAATTTTACCAAAAAGGAAATTTTTTTTTAGAAAATTTTTATCAGACAATTGGGCGGGATGCAAAATTTTTAGAAGAAGCTATGAGAGATTGCCTTGGGGGGTATAGTTACTTTTTGGGGGACTTCAAGGGGGGGACTTAAGAATTTTTTTGTCATTTAAAGATTTCACCTATCCCCCTGCCATACATTATGAACGAAGCTTTATACACTCAAGGCGGTAGCTTTTCAACTCAAGGCACGTTGAAGGGAAAAAACACAAGCAAAACTACGCAAACAACACCCTAAATGCTGGTAGTGAAGGCACAAGTTTCTAAGGGATCCGGATCTTTAAAGCAAATCTGGACAGGGAGGAGTGGAATGGGGCCAAGATTCCTCTCATTACCCCTCCCCCGCATTTTGGTTTGGAAAGATCTTAATCCTGACAAGCCTGATTTGAGAAAATGTCTACGTGATCTTGGCACTGTAAAACAAACAGCAGTCTGGGGCACATACTGTGTTTATGCCATATTGATATATGATCCCAATAGAAACAACGACCTTTTATCGCAACAAAGTAACCTTGGCATTTCATCAATTCAGTAAATTGACTTTGTACACCAATCCTATTGATTGAAATAAAAGTAATGCATCATGATTGTAAACAAATTTTAGCTATTTTTTGTCCTAGGCATGTGAAAAGCTTCTGCTATCAAAATCTGTAAAACTTTCATAATTATGTTTTCGATGCGCGATGCCAAAGATAAACTCGCGAGATAGCCCCCTTGCGTGTCGGCGCTTGTAATCCAACTTGATATCTATTGACCCAAGAAGTAGGCTTAATTTTGACAGATAGCAGACGTATTGTACTATGTAGATTGATGGCATCGAAGACGTCTAGGTCAACAAAGTAGGGCAGAGCACTAGAAATTTAAAGCTTTTCGTGACAGTTCGAGGAGACGCGCGCTATCTCGGATTGACTCCGTTGTTTCCTGCAACGCTGGAAAAAGCTCATTGTTCTCTTCACACTAAACGACACAATGGGGTTTCTACGAGTTGTATCTTTAGGTGTAATGCTTTCCTTGCTTTTTTTGCAATTGCATGTAGAAGGTAAACAGTGTGTGCGTTTTGAAGACAGTCCTCTCCGTAGATGTGCAGCCGCGGGATACAACTACACATACGCTCTTCCAGACGACCTTTCGGATAGCACTACACGTTACATTGTTCGCTTGGTGGATTACCTGTCAAATGCAACGGTAAATTGTTCTGTTGCACAGATTGCTGAAGCAATTACTTGCATGTCGTTTGCACCAAAGTGCGTGGATGCTGAAAAGGAACCTGTCCTTCCATGCCGAAGAGTGTGCTCCGAGCTTCTAAAGAGATGCTCTGAATCCATTCGAGAATATATCGTGGACTGGATGATTCAAATTTGTTTGGTGTTGCCAAATGCTACTGCCGAGTCGGGAAAGTGCTTTGAGCCTAAACAGTTTGACAAGCATTACAATGCAACCTCTAAAGGTACGTAAAAGTAAGTTTTTCACAGTGAATGTTGTTACGTTACTCATTAACTCAACTTGTAACTAGATATGTTTAGGGGTCTGTTAAAACCACGATCGAAACACAGGCAGCCCAAACAAGGTTCCTGTGTATGGTTTATAA